ATGAAGAATAAAAAATCAGCAGGACTTGATGACATCTCGCCATATCTGCTAAAAAATGTACACCTTACATAATAAAGCAACTCTTAGAATTGGTCAATGCATCAATCAGAGAAGGCATCTTCCCTTCTAAGAAAAAACTCAGTAGTCAAACCAATCTACATAAACGGGATAAAAGAAAATGCAAATAACTATCGTCCAATTACTCTTGTACTGGCCCTTTCAAAAGTTCTGGAAACAGTAATAGCTAACCAATTAATAGTATTTTTAGAAAAACACAATATATTTAATAAATCTTAGTTTGAATTTAGGAAATATAAATCTACTAACGATGCAATTGCCACAATTATTGAAAACACAATAGAAAGTTTGAATGATAAAATAAAATGCAACTGTGTACTATTAGACTTATCAAAAGCCTTTGACTGTATTCAACATAACATTCTCATGGATAAATTATACAAATGTGGAGTCCGTGGTATACCACATACGCTAATCAAATCCTAGACATAATGATGATCTCGGAAACCCACTTCACTAGTAGAAGTTACTTCAAAATACCCAAATATTCAATCTATGACACCAAGCATCCATCTGGAGCTGCTCGCGGGGGAACTGCGATTATCATTAAAAATTCAATAAAACACCACAAAATATGCAAATACACTAAAGAATACTTACAAGCAACTAGTGTAATAGTGGACGAATGGAATGGTCCACTTAGAATCTCAGCAGTATACTTACTGCCCGCCCAGGCAAGTCATTACGAAAGACCAATTTCAACAGTTCTACACCATGCTAGGTAACCGATTTCTCGCAGGTGGAGACTACAATGCAAAAAACACCCACTGGGGCTCCAGACTAACTACGCCAAGGGGAAGAGAGCTAATGAAGGCCATAGGAACTAATAATTTAAATCACCTATCCACAGGTCAGCCCACGTATTGGCCATCAGCTGCAGATAAAACACCAGACTTTATAGACTTCTGTGTGACAAAAAGCATACACCACAACAGCATTCAAGCGGACTCTTGCTTGGACCTATCTTCAGATCATTCTCCTGTAATGATAAAGCTAACCACCAATATAATGGAATGGGCAAAACAGCCCACACTAAGTAATAAATATACCAACTGGGATAAGTTCAAACATTTAGTCGAGACAAATCTAGACCGAAAAGTACCTCTCAAAAATGGAGAAAACACTGTAGAAGCAGTAGAACACTTCAATCAAGCAATCCAACAAGCAGCCTGGAAGTCATCACCGACAATAAAGCACGACAAAGAAATCGCGCAAGACTATCCTATAATAATAAAGGAAAAAATCGCAGAAAAGAGGAAGATCAGAAGACAATGGCAAAGAAGAACACCAGAAAACAAAAGACTACTTAACAGAGCAATACTACAACTTAAAAGAGTTATTAAATAGTTACAAGAACAAAGAGATACAAGACTATCTCAAAAATTTAACACCAACCGAAGCTACTGAATATTCACTCTGGAAAGCCACAAAAAAGCTAAAACAACCACAAAAACCCAACCCGCCAATCAGAACACCACAAGGAGGGTGGGCCAGAAACAATAAAGAAAAGGCAAAAGTCTTCGCGGAGCACCTAACCCAAGTATTCCAACCCCACCCCACAGAACTCAAATCGGATGAAGAGGAAAAAATACAGCAATTCCTAGAATCACCTTATCAGCTGGAATATCCCCTTAAGCCCTTTAAAAACAACGAAATAAAAAACATCATAAGCAGTAACTTAAACCCCAAAAAAGCTCCGGGTTACGATTTGATCACAGGGAAAGTATTAAAAGAACTCCCAGAAAAGGGAATACGGTACATCACACAAATATTTAATGCAATCCTGAGTACTGGCTACTTCCCAGACCAATGGAAAGTAGCTCAAGTGATACTAATCCCAAAACCAGGTAAACCATCAGAAGACCCAAAATCGTATAGGCCCATCAGCCTATTACCTGTTCTCTCAAAAGTTTTTGAAAAACTACTTCTAGCAAGGTTGAGACCACTCCTCAACGAAAATAACCTCATTCCTGACCACCAATTTGGGTTCAGACAACAACACGCAACAATAGAACAAATCAATAGTCAGTAAGAAGATTAGACAAGGCCTAGAAGACCACAAGTACTGCTCAGCAGCCTTTCTGGACATCACACAAGCTTTCGATAAAGTCTAGCACACTGGAATACTGTACAAACTCAGGAAACTGCTCCCCCTCAACTATTTTCTTATACTCAAATCTTACCTACAAAATAGACACTTTCTGGTTAAACAGCAAGACGAGCACACAAACCTCTACACAATTCTATCCGGAGTACCCCAAGGCAGTGTCTTAGGACCCATATTATACTTGATATATACAGCTGACCTACCCACCGAACAGAACGTGCTAACAGCAACATTCGCCGATGATACTGCCATATTGGCCTCACATGAAAACCTGCAAACGGCGTCCCAGATCCTTCAAACCAACTTTGACAAAATTCAACAGTGGCTTATTAAATGGAGAATAAAACCCAATGAAGCAAAATCAGTACATGTTGCGTTCACCACCAGGAAAGAGACCTGCCCACCTGTCCATCTGAACAACCACCACCTCCCCCATGCAGAAGAAGCTAAATCTCTTGGGATGCATCTTGACAGAAGGCTGACTTGGCACAAACATGTTTACACTAAAAGGAAACAACTAGGCCTAAAACTCACCAAACTATACTGGTTAATAGGAAGAACCTCCAAGCTGACACTTGACAACAATCTACTGGTTTACAAAATCATACTGTAGCCCATCTGGATGTATGGAATCCAACTGTGGGGAACGAGCTCAAACTCAAACATTGAAATACTAGAACGCTACCAGTCAAAGGTACTTTGCATGATAACCAATGCCCCCTGGTATGTGCCCAACAATGTCATCCGGAATGACCTTGGTATGACTAGAGTCAAAGAAGAAATAAAACAACTTAGTGTTAAATATAGTAACAGACTTAACAAGCATCCAAACGCACTAGCAACAGACCTTATGAGCCAGCCTATTCAGAACAGAAGACTCAAACGCTTCATGCCAAATGATCTGCTGGGCAGATTCTAGGCATTATAGTATATAAGCTAGATTAAGGTTATAGATGTAAGTTCTACTCCTGCAAACACATCTAATCTGCATTGATTAGTATACGAAAGGTGTCTACTAATGAGTAGCCTCCTACAAGCCAATATTATTGATCCCACCGTTTGCTTATTGTAACTTTTACAGATTGCAAAAAATAGGAGAAAAAAAAAAAAGAAGAAACAGAACTCAACACGTAAAAGTAACACACACAGAAGGCAATCGTATGAAAGAATATTTGTCAAGTAGCCTCCAAGTGAGATACGCAGTCCCCCGGGGATCGGTCCTTGGCCTATTACTCTTCATCTTGTATATAAACGATATCCCACATCTAACACAAGGCAGATCAATAATGTATGCTGATGACACATCAATACTGAATGTAGGACAAGATATGAATGAGCTTCAAAACACGACTTCAAATAATATAGGAGTGATAGAGACAAATAATTTATTTATAAATCCATCTAAAACTCACTGTCAACAGTGAAAACACAGCAAGCCACGAGCAAACCCTGGACGACATCAATGACCTCCTCATCAAGACAGACAGGCGGCACAAAATCTGCTCCATACAAGAAGGACGATGGGAGTATGGACATGGACATGGTTTAAAAAATTTTAACTAGTGACAATAAAGATTCTTCAAATTAACATCTAGAAACTTTTAAAAACTTTACAATACCAGGAAGCTGCTGTGATTTTGAAATGTTCGACTTTATGCGTACTGTGCATTATAGGATATAAGTGTATGTATTTTAAATCAAAACACCTATTTTGATGGTAGTTTCCAGTTCGTAATGATGTTCCCTCTGAAGATGGTCAGTAACGGCCGAAACATGTAAGGGAGACAAGTTTTCATGTAGTAAAAACTTATATGTCACATTGGACAGAGTGGTTTGTATTTATAATCTAAAAATCATAATAAAGAACAGGGAAATATCAAACATAAAATTTCCTGGGGGTAGTAATAGATAGTACCTTGAGCTGGGAATTACATATTGAAAAAACCTGCAGTAGAATTTGCCGTAACCTGTTCATAATTGACAGGCTATCTAAAATACTCGATTTAAATGAAAGAAGAATGTTGTATTACGGTTCAATCTATCCTCATCTACCTTATGGAATAATAGTATGGCGACATAGTGCTAAGACCCTCGCCAGAAGAATTTTTGTACTCCAAAAAAGGGCAGTAAGATACATTGCAGGGCTAAAACATCTGGGATTTTGCACTGATAGCTTTAGAAATCTAAAGATACTAATAATATACTCGCTATATATACAAGAAACAATCCTATATGTAAAAAAAAAGTGTAACTGCACAGTGAATGAACAAATACATACATTCTGTACAGGCTACATGTTCCACTAATAGGGCACAAATAATAATACTACTTCTACAAGTAGTACCAGTGGATTAAAGGGAAATTCGTTTACATGGTATGAATACTATGCCACAGAAGCCCACACCAACATAACATTTATTTTCCTACAATAACAGCATGGTAGAGACAAAACTTGCCACTCTGGGTTCATTATTCACATCACTGTGCATTTGGGCAGGGAAGGGCCTGGTTCAGTTACCTGAGGTTATAACAACTTGGGTATAATATCAATGACCAAGACACTACAGGCTCATGCTGTCAGAAACATTTTGCACACATTCAACTCTTCAAAATTCCCAAGGACCTAAAACTTACAAAACTCTATACTTCACAGTGCTTAATAATGTATATTAGCTGAAAGACTTGTCCTATATCATTGTATCATGATCTACAGGATTAATAAAAGAATGAATGAATGAATGAATGGTCTTCCTGAAGACTGGCCTGGTTTACATCTGGTGAGTAACACTGGAGTTCTAGGGAACTGCACATAATCTTGGGGTTAAATTACCACTCTTCCACACACTGCCCTGGTTTCCTGTGAGATGAACATATGGTTTTGACAGTACTTTCTTTTTTTCCTTCTAAATACATAATTTACCACATTCAGTCTCCAGTCATGTACAACACAAGTGGTTATTTCGTTCTTACCTGCAGATCATGGTGCCAGCACATAAATGGAACTCACATATTCAGACCCATAATGTTATCTGGGAGGGTGTGGATTCTCCTGAACAGTAGGTGCATACCACGTACGTAGAATCAAATCCACTCCTCCCTCCTGCATCCACTGAAACGCACATTGTGCACACCATTAAAAATTTGACAGGAACATATTAAAGATGAGCAGATGGCTAGTAATAATTGGGCCATGCTCCTCACTATGCACACATTCTACTTGCCTCCAAGCTGCCTCCAATAAGCAGATTGGTCGTCTGTCCATTTCGGTGCCTATACCTACAAATTCCCTATAATCAACAAGCAGTCCCAACGTTCCAATATATTGTAATAACAAGTAACCTGTATCATATAACAGATCCCATCTTATCTCTCAATTATCTGTCACTATCATCTAGAGCTACATTCTTCACTTAAAGGAGCAGGTAATGTCAGTCTGCACCCAAGGCATTCTCTTCAGCTGAAGCATCGCCTCACTGCACATTATGACACAGCTCAGTTAGATTAACTGGCGCATCATACCACTATGTATCCAAGAGTGATTTTATGTTTCAAGATATCTCACATATCTAAGTATTTCTAATACTTATAAACCTTCACATTCCCAAAAACCTCCAAACTCCCACACTTTATACAATATCCCCACATTCAAAACTGCATGATATATAAACATTGATATTCCTTACAACTATCCTACTTCTTTAACGCAGACAACCATTCCTATCAATCAAATTTCACAACTTCCTATGATTAACCAACTTACGGAAAATAATTACACTCTCAAATAAAACAAAGTACCTTGCTCCCACACATCACTTCTTTTTCCTCCAGGCATTCTGGGCCACTTGTCTGAGCGTGTCTCATTTACATCGACTCCTAATAGGTTAGGTTGGGCGAGTTTACACCTCCACTGTTGTGGGCAACTTACACCATCGTCACACACAGTTTTTGCGGCTGTCAAGAGACGAACACGAGAAGTCTTTCTGTGGTTTTGACAATATATCTTATAGTTTGCCTTATGTGGCTTTCATCATGTAAAAGCGTAATGTACCCGTTACCAACATACTGATCGATACTGATGTGCCAGCATAAACCTACTTTCACTGAAATGTACGTACGTCTGTAATATTATTCCAAACGTGAAGCATAATAGATCACTGAAGGTCGCAGTGCAAGGGTCAGTTTTATGCCTCACCCCTCATACTATTACTCATACATACGTCTGTAACAGTATGCGCGAAAACGTGGATTATGTTCAAAACCACTGGGAGTGCCGCACCATAGCTCAAGCGGTTAGTCGCTGGCGTCGCTGGCTTCCCACTGCGGCGGCCCGGGTTCGATCCCGGGTCTGGTCAAGTGGGATTTGTGGTGGACAAAGTGGCGCTGGGGCAGGTTTTCTCCTCGTACTTCGGTCTTCCCTGCCAACCTTCATTCCACCAAATTCTCAATCATCATAATCACCTGGGGCAGGCTACAATAGGCTAAGCAGTGGCTGCCGTGCCGAGAGGACCAAGTTGGACTCCAGCACCAACTAAGCGAATTAAAAAATATAAGGCCACTGGCAAAGAATCCACTTAAAATCAAATACATTCCACCTTGATCAGCCGATTAAAACACACATTTTGCACATCACCAAACACGGACACAATTACCTCACAAGTCAAGATCAGATCACAATATCAGACCGACCAGACCATTAAAGATGCCGGACCGTTCGTGTGTTAACAGATTTTTAAAACACGATAAGTTGCAACACACTATACATCTCTCTGGCTCCACCTAGCTAGCACGTAGCTGCTTGCAGCTGCGTTATAAGGCTCTGGAATGTCTGCTGACCAATCAGTTACTAGACCTCGCTGTAACTCTAGGCCCCTGCAAAGGAAAATAAATGCCTTTATTTCTTCAAGCTTTACGTAGCAAGCTGTCAGTCAGTAGTTCAATATGGATCAAAGACCAAAGCGGTTGACACCCAAGCGATTTCTTGGAGAACAAGAAATATCTGACTTCTTCTCTGATGAGCTATCTGACGTCCCTTGTGAGTCTGCTAGTGATAGCGACTCACAATCTGATAGTGAGTGTGGCAGGGGCAAACAAAAAATTGTGACCACAGACGGTGAAAGTGAAAGTGACCGTAGCTCCGACGAATGTGTGGGTAGCAACATTGCGGGGACAGCCACATGGGGAAAGTAGACAAAACGCCTGCTTTGGGACAGTTTACTGGAAATCAAGGGGTAAAGCAAATTTCATCGGACCCAACGCAAGTGTCTGAAGTAGCAGAACTGTTTTTTGGAGATAGTTTCTTTGACATGCTATGTCAGGAAACTAACAGATACTATCTCCAACACCGTGAATATTATGATAGAAGTTATAAGGCGTTGAAGTGGGTGGATGTCACTTCAGCAGAAATGAGAAAATATTTTGCAATTATCTTTCTAATGGGCCATACAAGGAGGGATAATCTGAAAGAGTATTGGTCATCAGATCCATTTTTAGAAATTCCAATTTTTGGCAAACTAATGAGCCGTAAGAGATTTGAGCAAATTTTGTGGTGTTTGCATTTCAATGATAATGAACTGCAACCACAATCAACAAGCAGGCTTTTCAAAATTCAGCCCTTATTGAACTTTTTCGTTCAGAAATTTCAGATAGTTTATAAGCCAAACCAACAACTGTCTTTGGACGAATCTGTGATTCCTTGGAGGGGAAGGCTTCGTATGCGAACATATAATCCTGGGAAACTTACAAAGTATGGCCTACTTGTTCGTGTAGTTACTGAAAGCACTTCAGGCTATATTGGAAATTTAGAAATTTATTCTGGTGAAGGAAAGAAATTACAAGAAACTATTCTTTCCGTTTTGGAACCCTATCTTGATCAAAATTACCATGTCTATCAAGACAATTATTATAACAGTGTGACAACTGCAGAACACCTATTTTTGAGAAAAGTACATGTTTGTGGAACAATTAGGGTGAACAGAGGCCTTCCTCCAGATCTGAAAGAGGAATGTAAATCCCTGAAACATGGTGAAACCACATTCAGGAGGAAGGGGGATATTCTTCTTCAGTCCTGGAGGGATACTCGTGTTGTGAATATGATTTCCACAATTCACAATTCGAGCATGGTTGATGTTCAAAGGAGACATGGACAGGTAAAGAAGCCTGTTTGTATTACCGAGTATAATGTGTTCATGAAGGGAGTTGATAAGAGCCGATCTGTACTTGGCCTATTATTCTCTTCCTCGGAAAACAGTAAAGTGGACAAAGAAAGTTGCCTTGTGGCTTATAAATTGTGCCATTTTCAATTCATTTTTGGTTTTCAAAAATCTAAACCCTCATTCAAAATTGAAATACAAGGCATTACTGCTGAATGTGGCAAAAGCCTGGGCTACAGACCACACAGTGGCAGCAGAACTGGTGGCAGACACAGTCTTAGTACAACTGGGGCCGTCTACTCCCACCCCATGCAGGCTTCATTTTGACCCCTCCGGGTGACTCTTGGGTGATATGTGGAAACACACCCTCGCGAAAATTGTGAAGAGTGAACATTTCAAGGGGAAGCAGCCTTCTAGGCAATGCCGTGTTTGTGCAATTCACAAGAAAAGGAGTAGGACTGCCTACATTGGCAAGTTTTGTGTAATGCCACTTCACAGAGGGGAATGTTTCAAGAAATATCACACCCTCAAGCACTTCTAGAAGCACTGGTAAGTGTTCTCAAAAAATTTTAGTTCATAAAATTAATTAGGAGATTTTATATTAATTTTTAAAGTGAACAGTGCACAAGTTAGGGTAGTAGGTATAAAAATGCCGGTCCACAGGGTGATTTAAATATTTAAATTGCCGGTCCGCAAAGTGTTAAAGACATACCAAATTTAAGCCCTCATACAACTCAGCCTCTAGTTCAAATAAGAAAATGCACTCAGTGAGAAACAAAACACATGCAGTTATCCAGATAAGTTACTGACAAATATGTGGGGTAGGGTCCATAGCCTGTCTGGATATGGTGGTAAAGAGAAAAATTACTGTCCCTCTTGGGAATCAAACTCCAGACATCCATCCTAGTCAGCCGCTCTACTGCCTGAGCCATCTTGGCTCATAAGGAAAAGGGGGAATTTTTTATTAATAATATTCCACATCTCAAACAGGTTCACCTTTTAGTCTGACTGGTATAAATCCACTGTCCGTGTCTATGAACAGCGCTTCTCCTGCAACACCACCAAAGGATCTTGGAATCTGAACATCCACACATACTTCGAGGCTGCAGATAAAAAGCAGACTGAAACTTACATGTACAATGGCAACAAGTAAATACACGAAAAAGTAAATTATATAATTTTCCACATGAGAAAATTACACTTAACACTTCGTGGACCGGTGATTTAAATCACCCTGGGGACCAGCGGTTTTAAACCTACTACCCTAACTTGTGCACTGTTGACTTTAAAAATTAATATAAAATCTCCTAATTAATTTTATGAACTAAAATTTTTGGAGAAGACTTAGTGCTTCAGAGTGTGATATTTTTGGAAACATTCCCCTCTGGATCAGTGGACCAATAGTCTTTCAAATTATCCCTCTTTGTAAACCCCATTAGAATGATTATTGCCAAAAAATTTTTCATTTCTGCTGAAGTGACATCCACCCACTTCAACGCCTTATAGGTACTGTCGTACACCTCACGGTGTTGGAGATAGTATCTGTTGGTCTCCTGACACAACATGTCAAAGAAACTATCTCCAAAAAACAGTTCAGCTACTTCAGACACTTGTGTAGGGTCTGATGGCATTTGTCTCACCCCTGGATCACCAGTAAACTTTCCCAAAGTGGGTGTTTTGTTCATTTTACCCCATGTGGCTGTTCCCGCAATGCTAGCACTCGCACTTTCATCGGAGCTCTCACTGTCACTTTCACTTTCTCTTCTGGTCACAATATTTTGGGGGCTCCTGTCACTGCCACTGACACTGCCCTCACTATCAGAAGACGAAGCAGTAGGCAAGTCAGATAACTCATCAGAGATCAAATCTCAGATTTCTTCTTCTCCGAGAGCTCATGTGGCCTTCTACTGCTTTCGTCTCTGAGCCATGTTGACACTGAGAATATCTTGCCTCACACATAGAAGCTTCGACTTGAACAAAGGGACTTTTCTTTAGAGTGAGAGGGGAATAGAGAGTGATCACGTTGCTGACTCGGAAAACAAACATTCCGAAGGTCAGTTACGCAGTACTTTTACAGACACGTGGCCACCAAAGTGAGGAATAGTGTGTTGCAACATAACGTGTCCTAAAAGCCTAAATCTAGGCAACTGGTCTGCCACGTTTAAAACCCAAACGCCTAAGCCTAAGTGTCCGGTCCGCGAAGTGTTAAGGACAGCTGGAACAGGAATGTTGGTCTATTAAGAAAAATGAATATATTATTCAGTCATATGCCCATTGCTAGGCAATGGCTCGGTAAACACATTCCCAAGGCATACACTCTCAACAATAGAACATTCACTGCTGGGTAACGGACCAATAAACATGCATTCTTGACAACAGAAACGGTGTTTTCTGTAGGGTCCATACCAAGGGGCTATCTTGATGACAGTTGATGCTACAGGCTGTTGGTTTCAGATGAGTTGAGAGTTCAGCTGTGGAGTGTTAACCAGCAGATAATGGAAGCGAAAGAATCTCTATTGCTAACATTTGTTACCAGAAAATGTCTAGTGTAGACACGGCAGAGGAATAACCATTGTGGAAAGCTGTTACCAAGTAAAGACTAGTGGAAATAGAGTCAGAAAACTTAGTGTCGAGTGATTTGTAGTGTGGAAATGAGCAATAGTGCAACAGTTATTTGTAGTGTTAACAACCTGTACGTGATCAATAAATCTATAAACCAATCCAAAACCCCTCTACAGTCACTGATACATGTGACAATATCATTACAGGGGACCTCACACAATAATATTACATACAAGAAGTGCCTCTGGATAAAATCACTTTCACATTGAGATCAATGTAATTTTGAATAAATGAAACTAAAACATGCAAAATTAGTAGTGTCTCTTATGTGTGGTGAATAATTTCATGCACATTTGATTAAAGTTACTTGTCAATATGCATCACATTTCAAATGTTATTGATACAGTGTGCAAATGGCAATTATTTACCTAATAATTTACCAAGAAACACAAAGTCATTCTATTTCTTCACTTGTAGCACATAACATATCTCTATAATTCAGTATTGTTCGAACTATGTTTCTCACAGCAGTGACTATGAAGATATCAAATATGACAACAGACTATATGGTGTCACGCCCCTCTTCACATTCTCAGTTGTTCAGAACTGTCATCATTCAGAGAGATTCTAAAAAAAAGATCTATACATTCAGAACGCACCTTATTTGAGTCTTTCCTGAACCAGGTGCCCCACACAACTCAGTGATTTCTCCGACCACAATCCCTCCATCCAACACATCATCCACAGCTTTGCTAAATGTCACAATATGTGGAGATGTACATTCTGCCTGTGGAAACAAATTCTTTACTCAGAAATTTTCATTTTCATGCCAACTGAACTAACTACACTGAACAGACTCCTTCTCAAGACAATGCAAGATGTTAGCTGGTGAAGCCACATTTCAAAATATCCATTGGTCCAGTAGTTTGTATGTGATAGCCGGCCACTGGAGCCTATCCTGCAGCACTATATACTTATAATTTATTTAACAACAATATCAGTAGCACAGACTAGACAACGTTAAATGATACAATGAACTGAAAATTATTTGGAATGAAGCAATCGTGGCCTAATTTGTAGTATTAACTACAAGAAAACTATGTCGCAATTCTCCAGATTCATATTTGAACCAGTGACCTCCCTCCTCAACACACAGCAGGAATGTTAGCTGCTCATCTGCAACATTCATTGTATAGTGTTGATAAAATAATACTTTACGTACCACCAATTATTCAATGAAAGCAGATCAGATTTCATGTATATCTATCTTCTGCAATTTCTAATATGAATATTTCATAATTTAGCATTATAGTCTCATTTCTGGCAGAAGTGACACCAATGTGCAAATCTGCTATTATACACTGGCACTACCATCTTATGATGATTACTGCTACATTTTTCTTTTGAAGGGTGGAGATTAAATCTAGCCTTCACCATCCTGTCTGACATGATGCTTAAGGAAAAAATTAATATTCTATTCTGTATCTATCACAGGCTGCTTTTCCATAAAGATGGGGAAGGACCAAGTTACACAGTTGCACCTCTGATTTGAATAAAACACTGCTGAAATGAAGGAAACAGAATAAAATGGAATAAAGCAGAAACCACTCACAAATGAAAAGAACAGAATCAGTATGAATTGAATTGAAGTGAATTGAATTTATTTACATTCTATAAATCCTAAGCAGGTTAGTACCTTTGGCTACAGAACAAGTCAAAAGGTTACATACATAAGTACAGGCAATTTTAGCTTAAAAATTAATATAACTTAATTTTACATCATTCTCTATTTACATTGAAGTATTCATCTAAAGAGTAGAAGGAATGAGCATGTAGATAATTCTTTAACTCTGATTTAAACTTTTTAGTATCATTGCCCAAGTTTTTAATACTTTGTGGCAGATTGTTGAACACTTTTATGCCAGTAAAGTAGACTCCTTTTTGATATACTGATAAAGTTGATGAGGGTAGGTGGAAGTTATATTTTTGTCTAGTATTCATGTTATAGACATCAGAATTTAATTTGAATTTATCTTTGTTGTAAACAACAAATAAGAGAAGCGATAATATGTATTGCGATTGAAGAGGTAGAATTTTTAATTTCTTAAATAATTCTCTACATGAATCTCTACTTCTACATCCTACATTCTAATTATATTCTTTTGTATTCTAAAAATGATTACACTATGTGAAGAGTTCCCCCAAAATATTAATCCATAGTTCATAATAGAATGAAAGTAGGCATGGTAAGCCATCTTCAATGTTTCCTGTGACATAAAAGGCTTAATTGATCTCATCGCATATATATGAAAGAGAAAGTTTCAGTATGCAACACAAAACAGCAAGGGGAAAAAAATAATAATCATTGCATTATACAGCTCACCTAGAGGTGTATTACACATATCTCTTGTACAATTAATACACGTTCTGGCGCAACTAGTACAGAAAGACTGTTATATTATACTTGTTCAAGATTTAAACATAAATATCCAAGAAGACAGGTGTGGCCACAAACAATTATTTGATGGTACAAATTTCTAATCTGACTATGACAATAAATACACCAACCTGTGTAACCGAAAGTATGGCAACAATTATAGACCAAATCATTACCAGCATGCCTGCACAATGCTACTCCACTGATGTAATGAACAGCCCACTCTTACACCACTATGCAAAATGTATCATCACTAATACGATTGCCACAACAAATCAGATGTTATAAAGAGATCAGGAATGTGTCAGAAGACAATATAATAGGCCTACACTTTTAATACAAAATTAAACTATGATTGATGTATTCCAGGAAAATGATCTTACAAGCAGAACACAACAAGTGATGGTTACACATGTAGCAAAAGACTGAAAGAATATTTGTCACATAGCCTTCCAGTTAGATGTGGAGTTCCTCAAGGTTCAGTTCTTTGTCCATTACTTTTCATTTTGTATGTAAATGATGTACCGCATATAACATAAGGCAGAACAATAATGTACGCTGATGATGCATCAATACTGAATATAGGACAAAATTTAAATGAACTCCAAAGAACAAACTCAGAAAATACAGGCTCAGTAAAGTAATACTTTGAAATAAATAATTTATCTATACATCCAACCAAAACACACTACATTCCCTTCCAGATGAAGCAATGCAGGCAGGAAAGCAAATTAAAGATCCTAATAAAGAATAGGGAAATAGTTAACATAGAAAGTACTAAGTATTATGTATTTTGTATTATCTGCTGGGACATAATGCTATGTAGTCCACTGAAAGTGAACTAACGTTTCGGAGGAATATAATGCCTCCACTTCAGGGTTCAATGAGCCCAGCAAGATACCAGTGTGAAAGCAGGTGGCAAACTGAGTACTTTGTGACTAATATTATTGTAATGAAAGAAACATTTATAAGTGGCATATGAGCACTCCCTGAAATAACAGTTTCTTGTACACTATTTTTACATAAATGTTTTCTCTACTTGTTCGCTGAATGGTAATAAAATGATACAAAACAATGTCTGATAAAATGTCTTTAAACCACCTCCCAGTTACTTTGTTCCTAACAGTTCTACAGGGCTCACATTTTATACTGTTATATGACTGTCATTTGCCTGGCTCAGATTCTGTAACCACCATACTTTAACTTTCTGCCTTTGACCTACTAATGTGGGCCACATTTTGTTGAATTGTTGTTTATTGAATTTTACTGTGTAGTGACCTACTATCTTTAAGCCTGACTTTTCATATTAAGCCATTTTCTACAGTACCTGCCATAAATCTAAGGCAGACTTTGCAGGTGGAATAGATGTTAAACTTGTCAACTGTTCATCAACACATAACTGCTTCTTCAGTTTCTTCCCTTCAGAGTCATAACCTGCAAGACAAAAAAAAAAAAAAAAGTAAATCCATTAGTAAGCCACATAATAGGCTTTTGAAGCTGATAGCTGACTGTGCATCATTGCCAAGTAAATAATTACAGTAATACAGTAACAGCAACAACTATGTGTTGTACCAAACATAAACATCCCCCCTTAACCCTACTCTATTTCTGATTATGTTTCTTGATCCCTTCCACTTCATTATTCACGGTCTAGTACCCTACCTCAAATGATATTTCATATGCTCAGCTGCCCAAACAACCAAACTGACACTCTTTTTCGTTCTTACACTACTTTGCCATATTCCTGCCATAAAGGTAAAGCTGTCCCTTCACTTAACTAATTAAGCACTATGCCATGAAGGTGCATGGGGGAGTGGACATATAGATCAATATTTCCTTGACCTTGGCACTAGCTGGAGGTGAGCGGTCAGCTTCACGTCCTTGCCGCTTTAAGCCCGGGGAAAGAGCCCCAGTACCCACTGATTAGGAGGTTGGGTGGACCCCAGAGCTGGTCTCGACGACATGTAGAAGTGAAAATTCTTGCTCCCACCGGGTTTCGAACGCCGACCCCTTGGTCGCCCAACCAGTAACCCGTCGCTATACCGACTCTTACTCCTTCCATAACTTAATATTATTCTCCCAGCGTAAACCTGTGCAAGGAACATCGAAGCAAGAACCCACGGCTAAGTTACGCACCTCTGCCTTGAGGAATGAAAGTATCAATGACTTCAATGACTGTTGGCATGTTGTATATGTGTAACACGCAGTGCAAGACAAGCAACGATAATCAGTTTCTTTACATTAGCACTTCAATTTGGAATACCTTTACCTTTCTCACCACACAGATCCTCATAGTAAAGAAACCCTTGATTACGAGGTCTTACTCGTACAGAACGCGGAAGTGGTAGACTTGTTACGGACCGCAGCATTAGTAAATCAAATCAACATTAATCAAGCATATGTTTCTGAAGCAATGCAAATTACAACATATGTGAAATAAACGCAAAGCACACATAACAGATTAAATCTCAATTCCCGCCATATTTTCGCACGTCACTGGGTCCATTGATTACTAAATTGCGTAAAGCCGACGGACACCGATTACTTCTACTGCCATCTATATTCATATCTCGAACAAATTCTCAATCCGATATCCAGCTTCGATAGCACAACTGGAGGGTCATGAACCTTAGAGAAAGGGTCGTTCCTTGTTCCATTACTGCATGGCGATCTATATTAGGTATATTCTATATCGGTCTATATATATAAAACAAGCCCCACGGCACTTGAGCGCATCGTGCCCTGTTCGCTGTGGATACCTGTATTTATGCGACACAGAGAAACATGAACGCCGTTTTCTCTGGAATGCGGCCTGATTGCGATGAAGTCGTGGTGAAGGCGATAGAACACAATGCTTAACGAAGGGAAGCTATGGCGATTTCTTTTAAAGATTTAGTCCCTGAGGGCGTGCAAAACAACTAAATGGGCGGGACATCCTATTTATAGATAATGTATCTTGGTGTCACCTTCTACATGAGTATGACATTGAGACTTCATATCGAAAGGGCCGTAGCCAAGGCCTTGCAGACGTGCAAGTCTGGAGTCTGGGGTTCGTGGACCTCAAGATTCAGAGAGGGCATTCCACCTCGAGGGAGTCTTCATACAACTTTCGGCAAAGTCGGACACAAAATTTACAACTACGGCCCTCCCGTAAAGTATTATACGTAAAGTTCAAATTAAGTGTACTAATAAATTCAGTTGTATTCAGCGAGCCGGAGGGAATTATATGATTACTAAGTGCAACGGTCTAAAGAGGTGTGTGTGATTGTAGAGAAAGGTTCTTCCTGCCCTGCCCGAGCCAGACCCGTATAAGACCCAGGATAGGAACTCAGTTCTACAAATTACTGAACAGAACCCAGATACTCCCATCTTTACCTGCTCTCGCGTAACAGCTCCAACAACCACAATTCTCCTCCCTTCCCATCTAACTTCTCGACATCCACGAGAAAAGGGAGGATGGTGATAAGGGGAGCCCAACGTAGGATAAAGGGAGGACGGTAACAGCGTGGCGCTCAACGCAAAGGGCCCAAAGAAGTGAGCGGTTACAACATATGCATCCTTCAGTTTCATACTATTTAACCAAAGCAGCTGAAAAAGGGTCATTAAATAACTTATCAACTCATTAATCACATTCACTACTCTCTTGTCTTATGAAGGCTGCTGAGTATCAGCTGTACTGGAATCTGTATGTTCTGTTCTCTCACATTGTTGGTGTAGGCTGTCCAATGGGGAGCAGAAATTGGAATAAAATAAACTTTGTTGTGTTTAATACTGAGTAACAGAAGAGTTAAGTATGCAAAATTAGAACAGCCAGATGTTCAGGCACAGAAGAACTACAACATAATTTCTGATACTAGCATTATATTGTGACATGCTGCCTGAAAGCCGGAATATAACATGCCCATCACTAGCCAACTGCTAGCAATTCCTAGGCAGTGATGCCTAGGTAATCGTTACCCGGGAATGAAACTCTAACAGTGGCGTTTCCACTGTTATGACAAAATGTATTCCCACGGCAACAAGAGGTTCGTTGTATAGCAGCGGGCAAAACTGACCCTTCGACAAGGTGTTCCCTATTCAGTCCAAGTGCAGGATATAACGGTTCGTATCTCAGCAAGAGACCAGTAGAGTTCGTATCTGATGAGAGTTAAGGACAGGTGAGCTCCGAGCAGAGCAGAAAACACTTCACTGAGATTAGTGGTGTCAGAGTGTAACACTGGAGAGGAAACGTCCAACAACGTTATAAGTGCGAACAATTGTAGTTGTGAGTGTAAAGAGTGATCATCCAATGAATATTCATCCGAATCTAAGACCCACGTAAAATTTCTTGTCCCATTGCCCAGGAAACACATGACAAAGATACTGACATAGTCTCAGTCCCTGACACAAGAAATAAACGATACAAGAGTTATAGAATAAAGTAATGTATGTCTATGCACAAAATAGGGACTAGAGCAAAAATAAGCAATTACTGAATAAAAATTCAAGAAAATCATGATTGCTAATGATTCAACAGCAGCTTGGAAAGGCACCCAAGAACCAGTGACATATATATATATAGTTTATTTACAGAAAATACGTTTTAAAATAATTAATGTTTCATCACTGATACAATAAACAGTAAAAACTATACATAACAGTCTGATGGACATATATGGTGGAAATGATTTCAAGAAGATTAGATACACTTCAGTGTCCATAGGTGTAATGCAATATGCAATATGAAATTCCACACAACACTTGACTGCAGAGTTCAAGGATTTAAACCATACAATTTACACAGTACTGGTAGATTTCTTAAACTTTTTTAATATAAGAAAGACTGGAAAATGTATGCAGTCAACTTTCACATTCAATCTCAAACCAATTCAAACCTTTCAATCTCTGTGAATACAACAGAACTAATCCAGCTAAGTTCCAGCTTCATTTCTCAGGTGAAATGCACACATCTGATTCAGTGCTGACAGTTTTGTGACTCTTAAAAAAGCCATCAACAAACTTCTTGACTGTCCGTTCATCTGTAAACATTTCAAATAAAGATTCTGCTTTAGTAACTTATATCTTATGTATAACTGAGGTCATATCTTTATCATACACAGTTCACAAAGCATGTGAGTATCTTGTCAGAATGCTTATGGAGCAGTTTAGAATGAAAAATGTCCAGATGATGTTCTGAAATCTGTTCTCTTCTTTTTTGGCTAGCATAATTCAAAGTGTTGCTGTACTTCCATCAGGTATTTCCTTATTTATCTGATGTTACTCAATATGCAGCACACATGAGGAAGATGAAAAATGAAAAATTTTAGGCACATATTTCAAAGGAAGTAATCACTCAGAGACCAAGGAATAGAGATAGAAATATAAGCATGAATCTTCAAAAAAGAGGACGTGAGTGGAGTAGATTAGATTCACCTAGCCAAAGACATGATCCTGTGAGTTTCTGAGTTCTACTGAAGGCTGAGAATTTCTGATCAGATAAATCACTATCAGCTTCCCAAAAAGGACTCTGCTCGATGCAGTAAGTTACTGACTAGTAGAAGTCCAACAAGTGTAACAATTTAAAAAACTTTACTTATTCCTATCAAACCAGTTACACTTGATGGACATCTACTACTTATTTATGTATTAGTCACTATTATCATAAAAGAGAAAAATAAATATGTATATAATTGTGTCATATTTCAGAGTTACTTGCAGATGTTCTCATACTTTTGGGCCTATAATGTAAGCCACATAAATAGTTGTATGAAGTAATACAACTTGTAGGATACTCTCCCTGTGGACCCTTGAAGGTGGGTTGTACACATCTGGTACAGACTGTAAGCAACATGCATTTCTCCAATGCATGCATTTGAACATAACCTACTTTTATATACCAATAAAAGTGAATGTCAAGAATAAGAGTAAAATTAAGATACCAATTCTGCTTACAACACAGATCTCTGATTTACACATACATCAATCAAGCTCTGGGCACTTATTTTTCATTTTTTCTTTTATGAAATTTTTTCTTGTAATAACAGGCAAGGAATGCTAAATGCATTTCTAAACTCTTCTTAAGATAGGCATTACAAAGTCCCCGAACTCAATCTATCATCCAATATTCTGAAGGAACACAACACTTCAGAAATTTGAACTGCTTCCATCCTCAAGTGAAAGCACTCTGCTGAGTCCACCTGAAGGAGCCAATTTCAATCACTGAATAACCAGTCACTCAGTTACATCTATATATATATATATATATATANATCTGCTCTCACATACGTTCATAGTATGATACATGGCTTGGCATTTAAAATAAGAGTGGATTTTAAGGTTCAGAAAACAACATAAGGATTTCATCATGTAGTTGACATACCTTCACTTTTGTTGTGAAAGCAAGAATGAAATAAATCTTTGCATGTTTCACACACTGCATTCTTATATATAAGACACCACTGATGAAAATCATCATCATCATCACAAAATTCTGAAGTGCAGCAGCAGATACAAAATCTGAAGTGGGTGGACTTAAAAGGTACAACATCCGGTATCACTTTTCATTGATGTAAACCATAACTTGAAACCATAACTTTAGAATGAACTAAATTACTTAAAATTTAATATTATGGTCTTCCAGGGTCACATTCCAGAACACTTAATATTCATTAGTGTGAAATTCTCAAATCCTATTTTAGTATTTAAATCAATACATTTATAATAAAAAAACTAAAATTATAACAGAATAAATCATCAATGAAAATAAAAGGGAGGGGAAATAAGGTCCTTAGATGACTAGGAACATTATGTGTACCAACAAAAATAAACTCTGTGGCTTTATTCTGCAAGCAAACTATACCGACCGCCACTTGTCAGCGAAGTTAGTGCCAACTTTAGCGGATAGAGGGTGTCACATAGTCAGCACAATGAATCCCCACAGCAGTTAGTTTTGGTTTTCTAGACCGGAGCCACTACTTTTACATTCAAGTAGCTCCTCAATTATTCTCATGAGGCTGAGTGGACCCCATTCCAGACCCACTACTTCTCAGAAAATCTGGTAGTATGAGGAGTTGAGCCCAGGACCTCTGACTCCTAAATCACAGTGCACAATTAACAAACTGACCAATATGTTTATCAGTATTCTAATATTAAATGTGAGAAAACAGTGTGCTACTCAAGAGAAATGTAACTAGCATGATATGACACATGAGTTAACAATAATAAATACACGAAGAAAAATAAAACCTTTGATACTACTTAACCTTATAGAGGGTCCAGCCAATATTTTGGGGAAAAAAAATGGTTCATTTAATGGATAGGTCAAGCAGACAGTGATATTTCCATCACTAACCATTTTTATAAATCCTTCCATAAACCAAACATCAAGGTTTTAATGTTGACAACTTGTAGAAGTGTGTTAATTACATGGTAAAACATAATTCATAAAAAGTGTGGTGTTCAGACTCACAGCTAAGTTTGAAAATATGGGTGTTCATATGTCTCTTGACATAACATCATACAAGAGCTAGACAATGACCTCAAAAGAAGCCAGCAGACAGAGCCATTACTGAGTAATGGCTTCACAAACAAGCATGCTTCCATGGCAACAACTGGATACAACAATAATGGGAAGTAGTGTTTTCAATGTGGTCTGTGATGTTATGAGCATGACAAGTCTAGAGACAGTCAGTTACTCCACATGGAGGCAGATTCAAATACACCCCACCATAACCCTGCAAGTCCTAGGAGACAACAGAAAGGGAACCTGGTACCTGGGGGTATAACTGGGTGACCCTGCTCCTAGGGGATATAAATATAGTGACCTGGCCCTCCAAGTTGAGGGAATCTCAAATCTGAGACAGTAAAATATGATGAGTCCTGTGGGACTCAGACTCGAGAATGACTGTGCTGACAAGGACCAACAGCAATCATAAATGACAGACCTGTTTTCTCATCAGAGAGGGCACCCCCCACATCAATGCACCCACAATTGTCTGATAATAATAAAAATCTGGTCTTGGGCACCAGATGGATGCTTGACACCAAGACAGACTGGCCAACTGACTATCGGTTGTAACATAACTTTGACTTTGACAGTTAGTTCGTTAGTTAGTCAAAAGCTGCTGCAGCTGGACAGTTTGGAAACCCACAGGAAGGGGAATGTCTGCTGCTGGTAGCTGTTACCTGGCAATGAATAGTGAAGACATGACTGTGGACACTAGTGAGTGAGTGTGTGTAATAGTGAACTGTAAAGTGTAGTCATGTGCAGTATCAAAGAGTCCAATAAATGCAATCATCAATCCAAACCCTGTCTATAGTCACTTCATTAAAATGATGATTCGATGTTACTGGAGAGATCATTAAGCTATACATCAATGCAAATCAACTTACCTGTGCTGTAGTGTTCAAGTAAGTGGTGTGCCAGTTGTCTGGCTAACAATTTAAACAAATCTCTCGATGCTATCCTTTTTTCCTTATAGAATGGCATAAGATGCTTCACTACAGTGTCTGCTACAGTCTGTCTATTTACTTTTGTAATATAATTACCACTGCTTTGCATCTCTTGTTGTTTATCCTTCACATTTTCTGACATATTTTGTACATTACATCTTGGGCTTTTGTTCACAGATTTGAATGTAACTTCCTGCTCTTGGCACACTTTTTTAATATTGCAGTTATTATCTGTATTCTTCAGAGGGAGTGACATTTTGTCCATTTTATTTGTGTGTATCTTGTTACGTTTCACGTCTCTTCCTGAGTTCAGTGAAACAGCAGGTTTTTTTTGGGACAACTTATTACTGTTTGAACAATTCCAATCATCAGGCTCTGAGTCTAGAAACATTTCCTCATCACTGGGGTCTCCAAACAGGTCCTGTGATAGTTTCCTCTTTCTTGCAGTCTGTTCGTTACTATTCTGTGTCACAGTTTCTATCCTGCAGTTAGTCCTCTCAACAGGCAATATGTGAGAATTATCTGAGTTTTCTTCTTTCACTCTACAGTTATAAAACTGACTGCCCAGTGACATATCACTTCCTTCTCCTGGTGTTATACAAGAATTTTCTGTTTTAACTTTGGAAAGGTCAGTTGTCATGTCTTGCCTATCAAAATATTCATCACTATCCTGTTCTTGTTTAATATGTACTCCTTCTGTTTTTACTACAGTCTTATTCAGATGTTCATTATGCTGCACTGTAATCTCATACATTACCACTGTTTTGTTATCTGCAGTTTCTCCCAAAGTTTCATTACATTCCTGCTGACTGATTTCAATTTCATTATCACTGTTCAATATTTCTTCTTCATCGTATTCTTCACAATCAAATTCCTGTGCAGAGTCTGAACTATTCACATCGTCTTCCATAAATGGAACATTTCGAATACTGCTTTCACTTGAGCTAATATTACTAGTACCATCACTTTCCCTGTAATCTGTCACTGTAGAACTGTGTTCCGTAGACCTCTCACTGTCAATTTCTGAACATCCAGATTCCGCCTTCTTGAAATAAGATTCTAAAAGCTGTTGTGATAAAGAATCTCTATTTAAACTTGACATTCTTCTTGGATATATTTTATTCTTTGTAGCAACATTATTAGGCACTTGCGTACATGAATGAATATCATGAAGTTGAGATGAAGGGACAGTTCCTAGAGGCTCGTTGCTGTTTCCATTCCCATTTTTAAGGCTACTTTTCACTTGAGCCACTGCATCATGCAGGGATAGGTTCCCCCGGGGTTTAAATTCCTTCAGCCTCTGATTAAGTGTCATTACATCAGTATTTCTTTTAATTTCTGCCATCTATAACAAATACAAATGGCCAATGAAGAATTAATCTAATGGTAACAATTTAACACTGTGTAAATATATTGAACTAATTCAGTACTTTAAAATGTAAACTTAATTTGAATCCCGGATATTGACATGTGAAGTACTTTCAGAAAGTTTAAAAACAGAAGCTAAGCACCAAGAAGGATAAAAAATAAAGTTTCTGGGAGGAACTCTAAACAGATGGACAGATCAGTCATACAAATTTGGAGCCAGAACAAATCATGACATCTAATCAGTGATGCTGAATGATGAAGATGTGAATCACTTAACATGTGAAGACTTGTGTTGGAGAGTACAGAAGGAAAGACTTCTGTCAGTCTGAGATTCTTACAACAATGATTATGAAGAGCATGGTCTTCCGAGTTGCAACACCATGTAGTTCAGAAAAAAGACCCATTTTTCAGGCAGCAAGCTGAGCACACCACCTGCTCTGCCTCATTTATTGCTTGACTTATTCTTTGAACCTGAATATGGAGGTGATATGTTCCTCCAAAACACTGGGCTTTCTCTGAACTATATGGTGTTACAAACCATAAGACTGCATTATTCAAGCAAAACACCATCCCGTTTACAAATTTAAACTGTGTGCCATGCTGCTGTCTTCTACAGGGAGATTGAAAAGTCGCGCGCATGACACTAAGCAATTATAGTTTGCTGGTTTAATGCATAAACTACAAGATATACAGCACTTTCTATTAATGTTTATAACCTCACATCTTAAAAATGCAAAATCAAATCATGTCTTTACAACATATGCTAGAAATGGCTTCCTTGTTCAGCAATGCATGCACGAGCTCTTTTTACCATGTTTTAGGCCACTCTGTGGAGCACCTGTAAACTGATACTGTTAATGTTAATGTTAATGTTTCTCTTGAGGTCATCCAGTGTATGCGGATTGTTTTTATAGACAATTCCCTTGAGGTACCCCCAAAGGAAAAAATCTGCGGGTGACAAATCGGGTAAACGCGGGGGCCACAATCCTTTCAAAATGAGACGGTCACCGAAAAACTCGCGCAAGAACTGCATGGTTTCATAAGATGTGTGACATGTAGCACTGTCTTGCTGCAACCAACACTCACGTTCAACAACTTCAACAAGCGCAATAAATTGTGTAATAATGTCTTGGTAGACTCGACTGTTCACTGTTGTTCCAAAGAAAATTGGGCCCACTATGTGATAACATGATACAGTGCACCACACTCCAATTATCTGACAGTGCAAGGGCTTTTCATGTAACACATGTGGATTTTCAGATGACCAAATCCTATTGTTTTGACTGTTCATGTAGTCACTAAGGTGAAACCACACTTCGTCAATGAAGAAAACCCAATCTAAGTCTTCAATTCCATGAAAACTCATCGTTCTTTGGAAAACGACATGTCTGTCACACAATAAACAAAGATGTCGTATGACCAATACATGACAGATAGCGTTTCTACTCATTGTTAGTAATCCCACAGTACCATCTAGCGATAGGAGATATAATTATATTGACTGCAATACAATTTATAACAACTTTTAGTCTGATGTGCACGACTTTTCGATCTCCCTGTATATTACCTACGGATCTTGAATTATAAAACCAAGGGATAAATACTGTCACACATTTGAGTGAATACAGATGGAAGTTGGATTAGTAACTGAGTTTACAGAACACTTACAGATCATAACTACAAGTAACTGAGGTGCTATCACCAATTCACACCCTCTGCAATTCAGTACATCATGTACTAAGTCATCTAAAGTCTGCTGTATCTTCACTAGTTACTGGTAATGGCTTCCAATGCCACAGATTCCTCAGCTACCACACTCACGGCCAGTGAAGGTCTCCAAGTCCAAGTCACATTGTGACTTACGGCTAGTCAGTCAGTAAGTCCTGGTGTCAAGCTGGGGCTCATGACCAGATATTATTACTCTCGCACAGTGATAGTCTTCTTTTTGTGGGGCACCCTCTCTGAGAGGATGGGCCTGTCTCTTGTATATGCTGCTGGCCCTTGCCACAGCAGTCTTTCTTGGGTCCGAGTCCCTCGGAACTCATGACCATACTTTACTGTCTCAGATCTCAGACTTCCCTTTTTGTCACTTCCTGCGAATTGCAGGGTCACGGTGGAGGTATTCGACCCTGACTCCACAAGGATTACTCTGTGAGCGAATGTCTCAAAGTCAAAGTCACATTGCGACTGACGATCAGTCAGTCAGTGAGTCTTGGTGTCGAGCCCCATCTTGGGCTCATGACCAGATATTAATTATTAGCGTTTGACAGTTACGGTCTTGCTTCTGTGGGGCACACTCTCTGACGAGAGGACGGGTCTGTCTTTTGTATATGCTGCTGGCCCTTGCCACAGCAGTCTTTCTTGGGTCCGAGTCCCTCGGGACTCATGACCATATTTTACTGTCTCAGATCTCAGACTTCCCTTTTTTGTCACTTCCTGCGAATTGCAGGGTCACGGTGGAGGTATTCGACCCTGACTCCACAAGGATTACTCTGTGAGCGAATGTCTCAAAGTCAAAGTCACATTGCGACTGACGATCAGTCAGTCAGTGAGTCTTGGTGTCGAGCCCCATCTTGGGCTCATGACCAGATATTAATTATTAGCGTTTGACAGTTACGGTCTTGCTTCTGTGGGGTGCACTCTCTGACGAGAGGACGGGTCTGTCTTTTGTATATGCCGCTGGCCCTTGCCAGTGCATTCTTTCGTAAGTCGAAGTCTCTTGGGACTTGCGACCATATTTTACTGTCTCAGATTTGAGACTTCCTTTTTTGTCACGTCTCACTTCACGGGGTCAAGTGATATAGCCTTGGAGTGGACCCAACAGGAAACACTGCTTTCCACAGTTCTTCTATTATTGCATGATGACACTGCCAGCAAAGACCCACAGACAACACTGCTTCCCACAATTCCCCTATTGTTGTGCGCATAACTGTTGTTAGCAGCCAGTACCTAGCAATGACTAATGAAAAGCAGAAGACTTTTATGTGCTCTATAGTTATAGTAACATAAAGAATGCGTAAATCAGTGGAACTGTTATAGTTATTTGTAGTTACAAGTTATAAACGTTCAATAAATTCAATTATCAATCCAAACCCTGTGTCTAATCACTAACATGTGACAGTATGCACTTTCAGTACTTAAAAACATTACAATATTCCAATAATATAGTGGCTTATTTGCTCAAAGCAAGAAACAGCTGTTGCTAGGTAATGGTCCATACACACGCAGTAGAGGAACATGTCATGTATGCTGTGCCATCTCGCAACAATAGAAGTGTTGCAAGTGGTGTTCTCTGTAGGTCTCTGCCACGCTCACTGCTATGCAAATGTGTGGTAAACACATCTCTGCAGCGGTGAATCAACATGCAACAATAGAAGAAGCAGTGTGTTCTGTGGGTCCACCTTGAAGCTATATAACGAGGATCTCATGCAGCTAGAATCAGAACTGAGACAAATTTCAGAGTTGGTAGTTGCAGCAGAGCACTGAGAGTCAGCAGTCAAAAGTGATTGAGAATAATGGTGAGAAAGTAATTAGGATGTGAAAAGATAACTTCATGTGTGATTTGAAGTTACAGTGAGACTGTTATGAATCTGCTGCCAGGAAACGACTAGTGAAGACCAAGGTCACTAGTGGGTGTAATAGTGACCTGTAAAGTGTGGAAATGGTGACAGCGCTGTAATTGCCTGTAGTCATGTGTGGGGTGTATAAGGTGTCAATAAATCCAATCCAAAACCCTGTCTATAGTCACTAATACATGTGACAGAATGCTATCTAAGTTTCAGGGTGATATCAACTGAAAATTTTTACATAGGCTTTCTTGAAGTAAAGTACTTATTTTGAGTCTCTAGCACTTAAGAGTTGAATTAAGTAAAAATGCCTGGTCTGAAAGGACAAAGAACAAGGATTATGAACAAAGTATACAGCCTTAATATAATACAACAGGTTTTACAGTAATTACAAGTACATTATAAGTGACAATGAAAATGGCAAAAATAAAAGAAGATTATAGCTGAAATAGAAGTAATTTCACACTTTGCACTTAACTCACCATTTTGGCCAGCAGTCTTCGATAAAGACTTGCCACCTTGTTTGATGTGAATGCTTCATATTCCATGTCGATAGCACACATTTCAATGTCAGTGGTGGAAAGACAATGTTGACCTGGATCTACTATATGAGAGCGTTCATAGTTTTTGTTCAGATTCTCAACCAACAGACTTAGGTATGATTCTCGTGCCTACAATAAAAGTAACAAGATCAATGTGACCTAATCATCTGGTGAATAATAAACTGAAATTAGAGTGATGTGTTTTGCACAAAGGCAGGCGTTACTGTGTGTTTTCATAAGAAGATATTTAGAGTCTAATTTCAAAGTATTTTACTTCTACAAATAAGTTAAATCCACAAAGCACAGCCCTTCTTGAGGAACTAATTGGTGCCCAGCTAGTCGAGAAATTTCTCATCTTCCATGGAACCAAAATGTTTGTTACAGTGTTCTCAAGATCTGCTCAGGCACAGGTAAACCTTCAAACCCACATTCACTCACTCCCAAGAGTCTACAACTGGTCCCTGTCCTGAGTCGGTCGATGAAGCTAACATTCTCACAACTTATTTTTTTAGCTCTGTTTCGATAGTATCCTCCCATCTATTCCTATGTTGCCCTTGTGATCTTTAACATTCACATTTTCAGATTAAAATTCTTTACTCATCTCTCACATTCCTCATGCATGTTATGTATCCTGCCTACCTCAAGACCCTCATCCTAATAATACTGGGAAAGTGTATTAGAAGCTCATCACTATGCCAGCTGTAACAGACTCCTGCTACTTTATATAATTTAGGTCCAAATATTTTCAAATATTCTCAGCAACTTTTTGTCAAACCCTTCTCAATTTAGGTTTTCCCTTAGGTGACAGATCAAGTAAAGAAAAAGTAGATCTTAATTTTTATATACTTTAATATTTAGATAATAGCATTAAAAAAATAGTGAACTCAATGAAACCAAGCGTATTCTGAATTTAATTTCTTCCTACATTTTCATGAATATAATTTTCATCTGCCATTCTCAAGTACTAAAATTTTACCACCTCTGAAGNTCCCGGATTGTGCGCTTGCTACATCAGTCTGTGTTTAGCACTCGTTCCGCTAGCATCTTAGTGTCGTTTGTGATCACACATTTTTCCAAACTTCTTTTCAGACATATTATTTGTGACTTTTTTGTGCAAAGTTTAATAGCCCTTGCAAAAATGTCCCCGAAGAGAAAGCCACAAAAAACAGCCATAAGAGAATAAAAATAACCGTAGAAATGAAATGTAAAATAATTGAAAAGCGAAACGAGGTGTGAGCGTGGCTGATCTAGCAGGCACATACAATCGGTATACATCAACGATTTGCACAATTTGGAGTTGCATTGTGTTTCACAGCAAGAACTTGTGGAGGAGAGTTTGTCAGAGGAGGAGGAGGAGGCAAGAGCAAACCAACAATCTTCTGGCACAATAAGATAAATGCTGAAAGCAGGGGAAACTGTTGCATCGTACATTGAGAAGCATCACCCTAATAAGGCAGTGGCTATGCGCGCTACAGATTTATTTAATGATAATGCTGTGTCGCATTTTCACCAAATTTTGAAGCGTCAGAAAAAACAAATGTCTCTAGACAGCTTTCTAGTAAAAAAGAATTAGATATGTATCATAAATAATAAATTATTTCGATTTTTTTTTCTGCAAATCGAATTCACATTCCAGGTTGGTTCATTCCGCATAGAAGAAAAGATGAGGATGATTCACGCTCCTTAACAATGTATATATAATTTCCTTTCAATAAACGTTATACATAAAATTGTTTTGAGTATTTTTTTCGGCATGGAACGCATTATCGTATTTTACATTAATTTATATGGGAAAAACTGTTTCGCTTAACGAGTGTTTCGCATTACGAGTATGATTCTGGAACGCATTACGCTCGTTAAGCAAGGTTCCACTGTATATACATATATATATATATTACAGACAAAATTAATTAAAGTTCTCCTTGCTAGAAATAAATTACACACTGACAATGGGAGGGGGCACATGGTAGCGTAGTTGGTTGAGGCACTATGCTACAAGCTGGAAGGTTGCAGGTTCAAGTCCCGATTTGGTCACTGGATTTTTTTTTCAATTGACCTAATCATTCCAGCCGCACTATGACCCTGGGGTTGTCTCAGCCTCTAACAGGAATGAGTACCAGGAATAATCTTGGAATATTCTTGGGGGTAAAGGGCAGCCTGTGGGTGGGGCTGATAAACTGAGTGCCATCTATGAGCCGATTGTCTAGAAAATGTGGGAACCTCAACATCTCACAACCCTATGGCCGTAATTTATTAAAAGTGTAGGATTAATAAAGGGCTAATCCAAGGGGAAGCTCAACAGATCATTGAAGGTCACAGTGAGGGGCCAGTTTTTATGGCCCACCCCTTACATACATACAAGTCTGCAATACAGACTGTCCAACATGAAATGTACTCAGTGATTATAACTTATCAAGGTAGGGTATGAGTTTTTAGTTAAACATACACTAATTGTCAGTCCATTGACTTTGACCCCTGTAACATCAGCTGCACGAACTCTTGAGTATTTGGCAGAAGTGTCCTCATTCTCTTGATGAGAGGATTTACGGCGCAGACAGAACTGTTTCTGGATTAAAAATTGTAAGTCATTTTTTGTCTTGTTTCCATCTCGCTCCTTTCCTTCTGCTTTATAACGCTCAGCCTCTCTGCAACCAATTAATTTAAGAGTGTGTAAAAGGTATGTGGTAACCTATACTTATTTATAACAATTCAGACAATTCAGTTATTAGTGCAATTAGTTATTATGGGCACTTTAGCTATACTTAATAAAATAAACTGCACTCACAATGATCTTCAATGCTTATTCCAATTAATTTTAAATTTGACAGAATAACCAATCACATACTAGAGAACTTACATCTTTTGACCTTTTCTTCCTCCACCATACAAATCTGATCCATCTTCTGTCAGTGTCAGGCTATTAGTACCTTTAGAAATATGTCTGTAGAACTCTTCAATAGATTTCTCAACATTTCCTGGGTTTCTACATACATCACACTGTTTCTGTGCCTTACAGGGAGGAGATTTATCACCAAAATAGTCAGCAAAAATGCCATGCCTACACCTACAACACAAATGTGATATATATATATTGTGATTAATACTTCTAGTTGTCATCAGACATCAGACATACAACTGCTAAGATGAGTGAGATTAGTGTTAATCTACTTCATATAATTTAATTTTGGGTAAGGACTACAAGAATGTAAAGGTGAAATATAGAAAATGAGTGCTGACATATGCAGCACAGATATGGACCATCACCAAAAAGAAAGTAACAGAATCAAGGAAACCACAATCAAGTTTTCAAATAGCCAAATGGGAAAAACAAGAAGAGAAAGCCTTAAGAATGGACAACTTTGGAACAGAGTACATAAATTTATTTATTATAAAACTATTTGGAAACAGAACCATAAGAGTGGTTCAGATGTGTGAAAACTAATGCAATGGAGCAGAGGCCACCTTAAGAAGCTGACAGTTACTCAGCTGATCAAGAAATTTCAGAAATCTTATGGAAATGTTGGGTGCATTTTCAATCTCACCCTTATGTGCTACATGTCCCATCTATCTCAATCTCCTTGCTTTGCTTTGGTGAACAGTACCAATTATGACTTCCTCAATGTGTCATTTTCACCATCCTCCTGTTACTGTGTTTTGCTTAGGTCCAAATATTCTTCTTGGCAACCTGGTTTACTTAAACTAACACTTTAGAGGGGAGAAGGTATTAAATCACCTTCATATAGAGCCCCCAGAAGTTGCATAGTTCAACTATTTTAGGTTGATAGTAAGGTAAAGTTTTCCCTGCGCCAAACAAATTATGCATTATGCCATGAAGGCGTAAGGGGGAGTGGATGTATAGATCCATATTTTATCGACCTTGGCACTACTTGGAAATGAGTGGTCAGCTTCAAGCCCCGGTCACTTTATCCCTGGGGAAAGAGTCTGTGGTACTCATGGGATAGGTTACGTGGACCCCAGAACCAGACTGGATGACTTGGAGAAGAGAAAATTCTTGAACCTACCAGGACTTGAACCCCAACCTCTCAGTCATCCTGCCTGTAACCAGTTGCTATACCAACTAAAAAACAAATCAAAATTTGATTAAGGAGAACATAAAGAGGAGGCTGAATCTGGGTAATGCTTGCTACTATTCAGGCCAGGAGCTTTTGTCTTCTTGTCTGCTGTCTATAAACATGAAATTAGACTATAAAAAACTATAATTTTGCCTGTATTCTGTATGGGTTTCAAACTTGGTCCTTGACATTAAGGGAGGAATACAGACTGAGGATGTTTGAGAACAGGGTGCTGAGAAGAATATTTGAACTGAAGAGGGATGAAGTGATGGAAGGTTGGAGAAAGCTAAAGAATGAGAAGCTTCACAATTTTCACTTTTCGCCAAGTATAATTAGAATGATGAAGTCGAGGAGGATGAGATGGGAAAGCATGTAGCATTCATGGGGCAAAGAGGAATTCATACGTAGGATTTTGGTGGGAAAGCCAGAAGGAAAGAAACCTTTAAGAAGACCTAGGTGTACATGGTATGATAATATTAAGGTAGATCTTACGAGAGATCGAATGGGGAAGTATTGACTGAATTGATCTGGCTCAGGATAGGGAGCATTGGAAAGCTCTTTGTGAACATGGTACTAAACCTTCGGGTTCCATAAAATGTTGGGAAAATTTTGAACAGCTGTACAACTGGTGGCTTCTCAAGAAAGGCTCAGCTCAATGGGGATAGTTTTATAGAGCTCATTCTAATTAAAAAACTATTTTAAACTAACACATAAAAAAGTAGAATTCTGAGATATAGGACAGACAGAAAATCTTGTCCAACATTCTTCAAGTCCAATTTCTGGGAGAACCCCCCAAAACAGCCAGATACATTTATGAGAAATAATAGATTTAACATTTACACAGAACAAGAGTGTTCCACCTCACAACTGTACTATGACGGAAATAACAAAAGTAATGGACTGAAATTACCTTGTCAATTTTTAAGTACTAGCACTCAGAGTGAAAAGCATCCCATAAGAGAACAAGACCAATGCTGATATACTGAACTCTGACAACACATGTATTTAAATCAACCTCTGTTCGTCTTATTATAGAGTTACTGCCTTCAACAATCTTCCTTTGTTGTTCAGTGCTACCTCTACAAATGATCATTTGAATTCTGACATAATTTCTGCCACTCTTTTTCCTAATTTGTGTTTCTATTATTACTATTAACACTATGTGAAAATGACATCCTAATTTAAACTTCCAGTCATCACACTTGCCATTTCATGAATCTGAAAGAATTTTACACTTCTAAAGTTTATAATTATTCAGCTAGAAATTATCAGATTACAACAAGCTGAATAAAAACAAATCATAATGATAATAACTAGGTGAAAACCTGTTCCTATCGGCTCAGTCACAATGAACAATGTAAAAAACTCACTTTACTTGCTCACAGTACTCCACCATCTTTTCAAAACTTTTATAAGCATATTTGGCCTTCTCTTTCTTATTAGGTTTCTTGGCAGCACTTATTTCCTTTCGAAGAATAAAATTCACAGCATCCCTTTCTTGTTTAGAATAGTATATCCTGCAGTAAGCTGGCTTTCCATCTCGACCTGCACGTCCAGATTCTTGGTAATAACTAGCCACATTCTGTGGTACACCCCAGTGGACAACAAATCTGAAAAAGTAATTTGCAGAACTCTTAAAAAACGATGGAAGGAAGCTGTCAGAAAGCTTCACAGAAATCTTAGTAAAAAATGAGATCAGAGACCTGTTATTTTTAAGGTCTCTGCCAGAAAAGTAGGGTATATGCAAACAAAACAAAATGAGTCTAGCAGAATCTAAGCCCACATTTCCTTTAATTATATTTGTGAGCAAAACCATGGCTACCAGGTGAGTTAGAGAGAAATTTATCACCCAAGCACATCAGTATGTCATTCATATGGAATGCAGGATATCTGGTATTTCTTGAACTTTCAGCATAGCATATTGACCAAACTTAAAGAGCATCCTCCCTACAAAGAGAATTAATTAGCAGTTTTAATCAAATTTTCTACATAAATACAATGCCCAATGTAGTAACATGTTCGACTAATTTAAATCTACTTTCTGAACTGTATACCACACACAGTGTCAAATTACGGGTTGTCTGTAAATGGTGTATTGGGAATGATGTGAAGTGCACAGATTATGAGGCACTTTCCAACTATCTTAGGGACTGAGAAAAAAAGTTGCAAAGAACCTCAATATGGGTAGCTGGCTTCCAGGCCAAAACAAAACCTGGGACCTTTCAAATACAAACAAAGGGAGCTAACCACTGAACTGTGACATTCAATATGTATATTCATACCAAATTCTTCATAATCCAAAAAGGTCAAATATTCTGCAGAAACTTTGCAATGCATGGACCACATCAGGGATGGAATATTTCATGTATCAAGATAATATTCACACATTGGTCTCCAAAACACACATGCTGACCTGTAGACATTCACAAAGCAATGCCTGTATGTCCTCATATAGCTCTTTCATTTATGTAGACAAAGCAATGGCAGGACTAGTACACCTTCTGCAAACATTTCTGAGTCTGAATTAAAATAACTGAGGCAACAGCTTCTTCTAAAAAACACTCTCAAAGAACATGTGTATTGCACTTTCAAACCTAAGATGCAGAACAACCAACATGTTGGAACACACAAAAGACATACTGGTGAACGTAGGCTGGTCATGCTTTGTTCCACAAAAAAACACGAACACAAAAACTGTAAAACTGTAAAAAAACTGAGCAAGAAATCTATAATAAAGTTGTCATTTAATGTTCTTTTGTGGAACAAATGGTCTGCTTGACCGTGTCTCACGGTGTTGTCGCTTGCAGATTTACTTATACTTCTTCAACCCTGAAGATGGGGGCGATACGTTCCTCCGAAACATCGGTTAACACCACATATACACGGTGCCAAATCCCAGAAGACTGCGTTCTTCAAAATCTTAGATGACAGGAAATATTAACTGGGCTGATCCCTTACAAATATAATATGAAATAAGGAAAAACTTTAAACTGATACATATTAAATGGAAATTCCACATTCCATAACACAACTCCTTTATTGCAATTACCTTCTGTATATCAACTGCAGCTGTCTAATTTTGTTTTCATGTTCATGTTCAGGGGATCAGGGAAATTTGTGCCATTATGTAGATGTCTGGGCAGAGACACAAAGCCACAACATTTAATTACACTGTTAATAATGTTGAAAATTTCTAAATGTATCTTCAGCTTATTTAGTCACAATGACTATTTTCTTCCACTAAGTAGAGAATTCCAGTTTCCATAAGATGCTCAAACTGAATGCAGATGCTATTAGCAATCTCCATGTGAGCATACAATATACATTTTAGCAGTGTTTGATAATTATGATAGAAAAGGTAAATCAGTCACTGCTCATTCTGTAAAAATTGTCTGCAATTTTTTTTCTTCCTATCACTAATTTAAATTTGAAGTTCATATTAACAGAACTTTTTGTAATTATTTTTCAAATACAACATTATAACTGTACAAAAATGCACATCAACAATTAAGGTTATATTAATGATCATAAAATACAGAGTAACAAAACTGTATACAGACTATTTCACTCAACGATGATATGCATATATGGAAATGATAACAGGAAATAAATAAATAAATGTGTGTGTAGGAGAGGGGGGAAAGGAGGTACAATAAAAGTTAATCACTGAAAGAGAAGATATGAAAATGAGTTGCTTCTTTTAGACTTAATAAGTATATTCAGAATATATCCCCTAAACTGGTATCACAATCATTACAATTACACTTACCTCACAGAGCCTTTATCCACACCCATTCCAAAACTTACAGTAGCACTTATCACTGGATATTTTCCATCCATCCAGTCGTTTTGTACACGTATTCTTTCTTTTGTACGCAGCCCTTGTTAAAAGAGAAGACATCAATTGTAAATACAGAGTTTTCCTTCCACGCACATCTCATATGTGGCAAATGGTGGCTACAGTACCTGCATGATACGCTGCAGTCTGTACACCTTTACGAGTCAGGTATGTTGCTACTTCCTCTGTAGCTTCTCTGGTGCGACAGTAGATTATTCCACAACTTCTGTTTCTCTGTGAATATATTAAATCAGAATTATGAACAATAATATAACCGATTCCTTTAATAAACAGACTTCCAAAAGTATGTTTTAAATTTCAACATATGTGGTAGCACTATGCATCTGACTACGAACAATTCATTCCACTCCATTGTCAATTTTTGAATGGAGCAGGCTATTTCTTAATGACAGAAACAATTCCCTGTAACTAACAGGCATACTTAGCTAACGGATGCCTATTTGTTTCAAATCAGCTTCTCTGATGGCTGTAAAATGTGACCAAATGAAAGTAAAATTAGTTCACTTGGATCAAACAGTTTTATATGGAAGTCTTCAGATAATTCCGAGGTATTTATCTGGAAACTTTCCAGTCAATTTTGCACAGATATTTTATGTACAAAAAGAACACTCAGTAGGCTAATAAGTTACACAATATGCTGTTAGACAGGTACAGCTAACAGAATATAACAGTAAGATGTTATAAATTCTCATTCCAAGTTTGTATCTTAGCGATAACTCAGCAATATCTGATTTTTTAGTTATGGCAGCTGGGATGAGAGCAAAAGCAGTACAAGTCAATGTAAAAGCAGCTGTGACATGTCTGAAGGACTGATAAGGCGAAGGGTGCCATACTCTTAACTACAGAAGTTATTCCTTCCCAGCATCTATGTGTCAACCCTACTGCCCCCTTTAAGTTCTACTTTGCAGTACATTAAATTGACACTGGACACATATAAAGAACAGTAGAGTACTTAATACAGAAGCTCTGTTGACCTCATGGTGTATTAAAACACTATCAGTACCACTGACATTTGCACCACTGCATGTTCTGTCTGACTATATGAACAATTGAAACATGAACTCTTAAAGAAAGCAGTCTTCTGGGATTTGGCACCGTGTATATGTGGTGTTAACCGACGTTTCGGAGGAACGTATCGCCTCCATCTTCAGGGTAGAAGGAAAAATATAAGACTGCTTTTACCGGTTCTCACGGTCTCTTCGCTTATTTCTTATATTTTTCCTTCTACCCTGAAGATGGAGGCGATACGTTCCTCCGAAACGTCGGTTAACACCACATATAAACGGTGCCAAATCCCAGAAGACTGCTTTCTTCATAGTCACCGCCGTGAAAACCTCAAATCTTACATGAACTCTTAAGTTTATGAACATAAATTCAGACTTGGTTGTCTTGTACAGATGCTATTACTTATCATGATCATTAAAAATGGTTGCTATAGAATGAACAAAATGGTGAAAAGAGGACAGCACAGTAAGTGTTAGGAACATACAAAAAAGAAGACAAAATAAATAGCTATGTGTTAAGACACATTTTATTATTACCTTCTCATCTATTATTAGGTCTCCCATGTGGCCTCTTTATGTCAGGCTTTCTGACCAAAATTTTGTACAAATTTTTCACATCTACATGCCCTACCCATCTCATCTTCGTCTGTCACCCGAATAATATTTGGTGAAGAATACAAATTATGAATCATCTCATTATGCAACTTTCTCCTGGTTCCTATTTCTTCGTTACTCTTACATCCATAAAATTAAACATGCAGTGCAACACTGGATTACTGATATGATTATAAATATTTACTAAAACTTACTGCTTTATCAACATGATGTTCTTCACCAAGACACTCACTGATGAAATCCTTCAAATCCTCAAATGGTCTTGCCATTGCATTTTGAAATACAACATCATAAAACAAATTTGAACGGTAGCAAGGCATTTTGTATTTTCCAACTGGTTTCCGCAGCTGCAACTGATTAATGATATCTTCAACAACCTACAGGAAAACACATGTAAAAAGAAAATTTTATAAATACTGTATTCAAGTCATATGGTTCCCAGCCAGAAATTTCTCCAGACAAAGCAGAGCCTGATGGAGCATTGTCATGGTGGAGTAACAAAATCCAGTGTGCCATTCCTCAGGATATTCTCACTGCTTAATTTCTCTAGACACCACGGAACAGCACATGTGCATGCACGTGTGTAGCCCTAAATATTCAGCATTTATATCATGACATTCAACTTTTGAATGTCAAGAACCCACAAGTGTTAAATTCTACTATATGTTTACCCTCAAAAAGCAAGATTTAATTGCTTACTATGAAACAAATTTCATATACAGGGTTAGCCTAAAAGAAATAAACACTTTCAAAGTTTTACAGAAAGAAGAGTTTTAATAGCATGGCCGAGATATTTATATGATTTAATACTTTAGCATCCCGTTGCTTTGAGGCATTATCCTTATTGTTAAAGCACCTGTCAATAATGCAACAATATAAAAGATATCTAGAATATGTTTCTCACTAAAAACGTAACTTTAATACTTTATGATGTTAAAATCATTAAAATGTCATTAGGACAATAAAAGTATAACTTATACATTAAAAGTGATTATCAAACTACTAAAATGTCTCTAGTTTTACACGTTTTTCAGTTTACAACATGTTTCGGCCACACATGGGCAATCATCAGGCAATTTTTCTTTTTGCTTTTGGGGAGACCACTGCACTGTTCACTTGTGCACTGTGCTCCCATGTACGTCACCGTTTAGGTTTCATCTCATGACTAGAATGCTGTCATTGTATTCTTTTGCAGCTATCATAGTTTTCATGTGTTGTATCTCTCTTGTGTATGTGTTACTAGCGCGGTCTTCCTGTGGTCTCCCATAAAACAAAAGAAAAGTTGCCTGATGGTGGCCCATGTGCAGCCAAAACATCTAAACTGAAAAAAACATATGTAAAACTAGGGACATTTTAGTAGTTTGATATCACTTTTAATATACAAGTTATACTTTTAGTGTTCTAATGACATTTTAATGATATTAACATAATCATAAGGTATTAAAGTAACATTTTTAGTGAGAAACATATTCTAGATGTCTTACATTATTGAGGGGTGCTTTAATAATAATGATAATTACCTCATATAAGTATTACTCATTCCACAAACATCATTAATACCTTTTTTTTAACGCTAGTGGGGTGGGACTAAGTCCCTTATACTGCAGCCACTTCTGGCCTACTGTACCAGCCCCAGATGATAGGTGAGGGTGATTGTGGAGCAATTGGTGGAATGAAGATTGGCAGGGGAAACCGAAGTACTCAGAGAAAACCTGCCCCAGCACCACTTTATCCACCACAAATCCCACTTGACCAGACTTGGGATCAAACTTGGGCCACTGTGGTGGGAAGCCAGTGATTAACCACTTGAGCTATGGTGCGGCCTCATTAATATCTTACTACAACAATGTCTGGAGCAAGACTATAGGAAATACATTACATAACATAAATACACATTACCTCTGAGCCTGCAGTGGCAGTTAATGCCACCCATGGAATATCCTTGTATTTACTCCGAAGGTGACCTAGTTTCAAGTAATCTGGTCTAAAGTCATGTCCCCACTGACTAACACAATGGGCTTCATCCACAATGATGTAAGACACCTTCCTGAAGTTGTGAAGCTCACCAATTAGGGTCTATGAACACATTAATAGAACTTAGCAGATGTTGTAGACAACATTTATATAGTCACATATGTTTAAAATTTAGGTACTTTTATTCCCAGTCAGTAACATTAAGTTAGCTTCATTTTTAGGTATTTTTGTCTTGTCTAGTAAGCACATACAAGTAGAAATTGAAGACTTTTCAAGAAGTTTGGTGGTAAATGATGTCATATGCTAAAATTGCTAAGATCATTTGGATTGCAGCAAAGAAAAACTTCATGAAGCCTATTTTCATTTTCCACTGACTTCTGATCCAACAGATACATTATTGTTAAAAGGTAAAAACAAAGGTAAAGCTATCCAAGTAACAAGTTGTGAGAAGTTGAGGCTCCCACATTTCCTAGACAATCGGCTCACAGATGACAGTGAGGTTGTCAGCCTTATGTGCCAGGTGCCCTTTATCCCCAGGAAGATTCCTGGTACTCATTTCTGTCAGAGGCTGAGTAGGCACCTGAGCCAAAGTGTGGTTAGGATTAGGTCAACTGAAAAATCCAATGACCTCATCAGGAATCAAACCTGTGACCTTCCGGCTTGTAGCATAATGCCTCAACCAACTATGTTACTGCATGCTCTGCCCACTATTACTGTTACCTTCTTTATTTCTATGAAGAACTTGTTAAATACATATTCTGTATACATTACACTTCTTGGATATAACTTCATCATGTTTGTAACTGGTGACTTGAAAACAGATTTTCACATATTATGTGTACATATGGTTATGGTCTGTCTCTATACCAAATTGCACATACATAACTCCAGTGGTTTACTATTTCCAGCCATAAAACTGAAACCTAAAGAAAATTTTCATACAGCCATCACGTTGCAATTTTACGTTCTAGAAAAATAGTATCTTACCAAAGTTGCACATTTCACCAATACCTGTTACAATGCATCATTTCAGTACCCTAAAGTAAGTGGCACTCCTGCTTCTTTAAGTTTGCATCTCTGCCATGCTGTTACTGCAGTGTGGGGAATTAAAGAGTATTGCACTGTGGTGGCCTCTAATGGAATAACATTAATACTAAAGTTTGTAAAAATCAACTGACTGGTTCAAAAATTGAAGTGAGGGAACATATAAAGAGCATGCTAATCTTACAACTTTTTTTTCTTGTAAGGAAAGACAGAATGCTAATAATGCTTTAACATTATATATTACATAGGGATACGATATGGCAGACTTCTGATTATGATTTAACACAATACACTGCACAAGATAACAAACAAACAAACAAACAAATCAGTCTTCAAAAAGTGTAGGCACAATGGTTAAAAACCAGTTACCTTCCAAACAGTAAAATGCTTAACCAAGACAGTAAGTTATGACAACATTTGTTACCTTGAACGTGTGTGTACTGGCTTGCTCTGGAGTAACATAAAGAAGCTGGGTACGGGGGCATTTGCATTTCAGATCATTTATCACTTCAGTTCTTTCCTTAACACTCATTTTGGAGTTGATGGTACTTGCAACAATCTTCTGCTTATGGAGATGATCAATTTGATCCTTATGTGCACAAAACAAATTATTAATATTAGTGTTAAAAAAGAGCATGCAAGTCATAAATTAAACTATGTACCCCTCAAAACTATAATACTACTACTACTACTATAATACTTTGACTACAGTCAAAGTTCCCTAGCTGTCTACATGTGATGTAGCAATCCACAACTTTGGCAGAACAAGCCAGCACTGCTGTCAGATCTTCACTGAACTCTAAATGTTGAAGTGAGCAAATGTAGACAGGGAAACCTTAGCGGTGGAAGTGTGCTAGCAAATGAAATATGCATCTGGTAATGTAGAAGCTGTCCACTTAAAGGGAATTCCACGTTTCTGCAGTTAAAAATGCGGAGCTTCAAAATGTCAAGACAGAAGACATACGTTTTTGTTTCTTGTGGGATCTAGGAAGATAACAGAACTACTGTCAATCATTATTCTAGCCTTTTTCTCATAACAAGTTTAGTGAGAAATCATATTTTCCACCAGTCCCCACCAGTCCTCTTAAGAAATCTGGTTCACTCTTAAAATGTTATTTAATTTGTCCACATCTAAACCTGTAGAATCATTTAAAAAATAGAAAAAAATGGCCAGACTTATAAAGAGATCTCATGTTAAACTGGACACAATGTTAAAACTTCAGACACATTAGACTGATTACTTTGAAGAATATCCTGTACTGAGGCAAAAGTTGAAAAAGATAATGTTTTGGATCATAAAATGTAGAGACAAAATATGTACCACACTTAATGGTACATCAAACTACACACTAAACTACATTTCACTGCAAAACACTATTCTACCATGCTTGTATCCTAGTTTCATCATTTAGTTTGAACACTGTTACACCATTTTAGTCATTTTTGGAGACTAGAGTGAGGAACAGATTCCCACCTTCAACATCCCTAAAGTAACTTGAAGATGCTCTTCAAGAATGGTATAAAATTCTGTTACAGACTGTCAAAACTTGTATGAGTCACTTCCAAGAAGGAGCATAGCTGTATTGAAGGCAAAAGGTGGTCCAACACAATATTAATAAAGAAAAGTGTACCATATCTGTAGCTTTTTCCATTATTTTGTCCAACCCCTTCACATCCAATTACTTTGTAGGGGAATTTCTAATTATGTTTTCATTTCAAATAACAAAGTTGTATATTCACTGAATGACATTACCTTCATTAGAGCCAGCAAGGGTGAGAAAACAATGGCAACTTTATTCTCTTGGAGCACTGCTGGAAGCTGAAAGCACAAGGACTTCCCTGATCCTGTTGGCATTGATATAAATACATCTTGAGTTCCTGTAACATGTTCAAAAGCATGGCTTCATTATGAAAATATGGAACAAAATTTGAGCAGTATGTTTAAAAAAGAATGAGAAATATATAACCATAATTTTTCTTTTAAACATATCCTGTGGTGTGCTTTCACAAGCTTCACACAGGTTTTCAGCATCTAACCCATATATGTCACATTATGGTCTATCTCAATCCCTGTCTCAATGTTGCATCAGCAGTATCTCACATCAAACTTTACCAGCAATCCTTTTTTGTATTTTCCATACACCCATGCCTCAAAAAAGAAAAAAAAATGAATAGTGTTTGCAAGTAAGTGGAACTACAGATGATGTAAAAAAAAGAACAATACACATTTGCTTCATGAAACAGGTTCATGGATAGTTCTATCTTAGAACAAGACTTTATCTGTGAATTTTGCTATATGCTATAAACTCAGGAAGTATATATATATATATATACACAAATTCAGTGAAGCCTAATTAGAAACCAATGCTTCTGATCGATTATTTGGCATAGTGTAGCTAAGATACAAAACACTACCAGAAGAACGCAGACCAACCAGCAAGTAGAGTGAAAAGAGCATAAGAGTAAGGCTTGGGCAAACTAAGCCCTTACCATTAAATTTACTTGTCTGAAGGGAATTCTTTCATACAATACACTGCACTGGAGCACTGACTTTGCTGAGGTTTCTTTTGTTTTTCCTCAGTCCCTCTAGACAATTGCCAAGATAGTATTTTAAATTAGTGAACAACCACTTCCACTTATTTTTACTTAACTACTGTAATAATTTGATGGTACAGTGTCTGCATTACTGACAGCATTGTTAAATAAATAAATTCCATGCATTTACTTCTCTGCTTGAATCATAACATGATTCCACAAGTATCTTATATAACAAACCACTTCAGTTATTCATCATTCTTGGCTTATTTAATGGCACTTTACATCCCTCTAGTTATATAGCATCAAATGATTTGCAGTGCTGTAGCAGTGGATATACAGGGGTGTATGCCACATACCCTCTGCTTCTTTGAACAGAGTGCATATCTTAGGCCTATGAAAAATTATTCATGTCGACTGAGAAAGCAGCTAATTCCTCTTTTCCCCTATTATTTCGTTAATTTATAGCAAACTTCACTAGCTATTTCTTGTTTTTATTCTAGGCCCAAAATACTGAAGCTGCACCTGAATTCCCTGAAAATATTTACAAAAGACAAGCTTTAATACACATATTTCAATACTGCTTTTGATTCAGTCATACTGAAAATAAAGGACTACATTAATTATTTCTTAATTCTATATACACATCACTAAAATATAAGTGAAATGATTTTTTTAACAAAATTCAAAACAAGGTCACTCTAATGCCATCATAACATTACAGCCCTGTAGTGTTCTAAGTGTAAATAATTCCCAGTTAAGAATGGGAAGTCCTCTAAGTAAGCAAACCCATCTCGCTGGTAGTCCTGACACTTTTCAGAAATGGGTGTTCAATCAATACAACTGGGAGGTAACACTGAAATCCTTCAGTTCCTGGTACCACTTCTTCATTAGAGATCCAACAGCTCCTGCTTTCTAATGTCATTAGTATATAATTATTTCTTCAAGAATAAAATATATTTGTTCTTACCTCTCAGAACTGCTTCAGTAGCGCGCCTCTGCAAATCACTTTTAAATTGAGAATGCCCAAAATACTTTGACAGCTCAGATAGCAAATTACTGCCACATGCTGTGGCATTCTGCATGCTCAAAGACATTATAACTATGCAAATCCAGATCTTCTTTACGATTCCAGCACTACACTACATGTAAATATTTAAAAACACTTGCAATTGTCCATTTGCACATATAACTTCCATCACACATATCCACGGCCAAGACTGCGAACTGCGAATGACAATAGCACAGAAATCTTTAGCGATTGTCTTCTATCGATTATATCGTCGACTTGCATCAATATCTCGATTACGCATATACATACTTTGTAACGTGGGTGGACACAGCGTTACTACGTAACGTACGTAACTGACCTAGACAGCCGAGAAGCCGAGAAACACCTCGCGACCGCTCGCGACGGAATACACGCAAGGCAGCAGTGGGAATGCGGCGTTTTCAAACATCTGTTAAATAACAAAACAAATGTCAGTATTTGGGACTGTCTGAGAGTATTCGTCACTATTCGGGAGTATTTTAGAGTTTTAGAGTGAGTGTTTAAAAACAGTGAAAGAGTTGTCGGTGGAAGATAGCCACGGAAAGTTCGTCGTGAGAAGATTAACATGTGATTGTGAATTGTGTAAATCAGCAAGAGTGTTATAAGTTATTGTAGTTACGACCTGTAAGTGGTTAATAAACCCAAGTACCAATCCGAACGGAGTCTCAATCGCCAAAACACGTTACAATATAATAATTTTCTACGTTGTTTCTCTCTTTGTTAGACGTCAGAGTAACGCAGTTCTTATTCGTTTTTATTGGTGCCCATATCCTCAATAGATGCCCAAGAATATCATCATACTGTACTTCTTTAACTTCCGTTTTAATGTTAGGTATTTGAAGGGCGTTACCTTTACTTAAATGGCATTTTCCCTTCAGATATCCTGATGAAAATTTTGTATTAATTTATTACCTCTCGTCTGTGTGCAACAAGCAATACCAGTCTCTGACGTTCTTTATTTTATCCTACAAGGTCATGGCGACAAATTGTGGTGCTCCTCAATTTGCTATTCCTTACCTTCTTGTTACTGCTTTGTTAGGTCCAAACATTTTTCTCATTACCTTGTTCCAAAACAACCTCAAGCTATGATCTTCTCTTAGGATGGAAGGATACAGTTCCTTTGAATCAGGGTCAATTCCTGATGAGGTCATTTTATTTTTCAATTGACCTAATCCTTCCAACCGCACTATGGCCCTAGGGTTGACTCGGCCTCTAACAGATATGAGTACCAGGGATCATCCTGGTTGTATAGGGTGGCCAGCATGTAAGATTGACTTCACTGCCATCTGTGAGCTGATTGTCTATAAAATGAGAGAGCCTCGACATCTCACATTACATTCCATTGGTCTTCCATGGTCTGTTAACAGGATAGCTTTACTTCTACAAACAATGTGAAATTATTTTGTATTCAGTATTAATCTGCATTCTTAGAAGACAGGAAAACAAAATAGATATTCTGAACTGAATGGTAGTATTAAACAGATGTGATGCTCCAAATTTCCTCGTAAATGTTGTGAATTTTACTAAGAGGAAACTTCATACAATTTTTCTTGCTTTACTTCAGGAAAAAATTTAATGAAGTACCATTAATTTCCATATCTAGAATTTACTTAACCCTGAAATCTCAGGATCATCTTAGTGGTCTTAAAGAAGAAAATTGATTTGAATTGCTTGATGAGTTTATAACTTCAACACTGTTGCAGGAATGCATTAGGTTGAATGCTCTCTTTATACTATTTGGCGAATTCAAGCTTATATTCAACACCTATGCCCCACCTTTCTGAGAGCGCAATGACTCGAGAAATCTGCTAGTATTGGTAATATGAGAAAATAATATTAAATGCCTCCAAATGTAATAAAATAAATGCGTTCATGAAAATTAAGCATTTTGCTTAGAACTGAAGCGTAATATGCATATAATTAGTTTGGAATCCTCATCCCACCCCTAATCCCCAGCAGGATAATACAGACTCCACCACCCTCAGCCATGTACTTCACATTATTAAATCACTAAGAACTCTAAAATATGAAACCCAACTTAAGAGCAATGGTTAGTAAGAAAATGGGGCAAGCCAGGTCATCTATTTTGCAGATTGCATAAGAGCTTCACTGCAAAGTAGTAATGCCATAACATTTTCATCAACATTATGAACAACACAATTTCAATGAAGGAAGTTGTGTTCTGGGATCTGGCGCCGTGTATGCTTTGTTTCAGCCGACGTTTCAGAGGAACGTATCGCCTCCATCTTCAGGGCAGGTGAATTGCCCTTCGCCCCCCTGACCATATATGGCCTTAATCGCTCTTCACTGTTCCCATTGGTCCCCTCTCCCTAACCACCTCCCCTGCCTACTTCCTATATAAAGTAGCGCTTTTCACTTCCTAATCATTACAGCTACTGCTCTCTGTATTCGCAAGGCAGTTCACCTGCCCTGAAGATGGAGGCAATACGTTCCTCCGAAACGTCGGCTGAAACAAAGAATACACGGCGCCAGATCCCAGAAGACGACTTCCTTCATAGTCATCGCCGTGAAAACCTGAAAACTTACATAAACACAATTTCAGTTTCTGTCTCCACTTACCATGATGTTTTTCCACGCTGAATTCTCACATTATATGATGACTTGCTGTATACTGCTCAGCTTTTAAGTCACTTAGTGGGGGGTGGAGTCCAACTGAGTCCACTCAGCACGGCGGCCATTGATTGGCGTATTGTAGCCTGCCCCGGGTGATTATGATGGAGAATTTGGTGGAATGAAGAATACTGCTCAGTTACTTTACTATGGAAAGTAGCTTCTGTCCATAAAATTGGTAACATACCTGGTTTCTTAATTTTATATTTACAATATGAAAGAAATATGTTAGTTCGTTATTATCAATTTAAATGCATTTAATGGGACTGAAGATGTTTGAGAATTGGTAGCTTGGCATGAATGCTGCCAGGCCTTCTTCTAGGGGCAGCCTAAAAATTTGCTTTGTAACTTACATTTAAACAGAAGAGTTCTGTTTTCTGGGATATAATGCTGTGTAGTCTGCTGAAGGTCAACTTATGTTTCAAAGGAACATGTCACCTCCATCTTCAGGGTCAAAGAGTAAACCAAGCACGAATCTAGTGTGAAGCAGGCATCAAGCAGAGGCTCTGCTTTAGGTTTTTGGTATTATACTTTGTCACTGATAGTACATACAAAATGGGGTTGGGATAGCTCAGTGGATACAGCAATGTGCTATGGGCTGGAAGGCCGTTTGATTTGCGGCAGAGTCAAGATATTTCTCTTCTCCATGGTGTCCAGACTAGCTCTGAGGTCCACCCAGCCTCCTGTCCAATGGGTACTGGGGGCTATTTCCCTGGGAGTAAATCAGTTGGGGTAGTAAGCTGACCACTCACCTCCATCTAGTGCCAAGGTCAAGAATGGTTGAGCTGCTCCCAGGAATAATCACCAAAGGACAAGCAAAACAATCCAAATAGCTGGACTTTTATGCTTTATTGTGAGACCCACACTGATATAAAAAACATAAAAAATGTTCTTCCATTGTCCATTATTAAAATCTTAAAAATGAAAAATAACTGAAAAATTACAGCTGTTTTCAGGCATGAGATTATATTAACCTATACCATGTACATCACTGCTGAATTCTCCAAATTTAAACAAAACAAGCAGTACAGGTTTGTCAAAACAGGTTATTCAAAATCAAATTGGAAGGCCAACGTTGCTCAGATAATTAAGATTCTCTGTACAAAATCCTTGGACTTTCTTTATCTTTGCAGTGCTTCAATCATATATACTCCCTCTTGAGCTCCTGACTTGGAATGGATCTCATATTCTAATAGTGTTATTCTTCCAAGAAAAAATACTGCCCAGCTCTCTTCTGCTCAGTATCCTATAAAAGCAAATAAGTAATCACAATATGATAACATGATGGACACACTTGCTTTTAAGCTATAAACTCAATAAAGGAGTAATGACAAAAATGTAAGATACACTATACAGTTATGTCAGTCCAGAGATGAAGTCCAACATTTCAAAGACCTCTCTGTCTCTATCACTAGGGAATGATGTATTGGATAAGCACTGTCCATGTATTTATTGTCATTTGATAATGACTAGACATGGGGTTTGGAATGATAATTGGATTTACTGGACACTGAATCACCTTATTTACAAATAAGCACACAATTCACATGTATTCACTATTAATTTACAATCTCTTTTATCACTCTTGTTGGGTTTGTTGCTGATTCTATCTTCACAGATGTTACTAGGTTTCAGGCTCTGATAATGGGGACTCCTTTAACTCACCGGCTCCCTATATGTTACTTTGTTATGAACCAAATATAAAACATTACCCTCAACAATTCCTTAACTGTTGTGTGCATACACGGCTTTCAAGAATCAGTTGTTCACATACATGTCTGTTGGTGACTGGTGTTTGACATTACCTTGCAATGGAATTCTCTGCGACATTTCTTCAATTCAAAGATTTTGTCTTTTACATGACAAGACTATTAGCAATGGATCAAGTGAGATACACAATCCAGTAATGAACGTGGGTGCATTGTGTTGTTTATAAATTCCTGATGATGGTCATATATGACCAAAATATGTAGCTAAAATAACAATTTAATAAACTAGCTATCTTATGGACATTTTGAATCTTATCATTTATTAAAAGTATAAGATTGTAGTGATCAACAGACATATTTACATACTTTACAGAAAGGTTCATACCTTCACAGAGTTGTTCTTATTAATCCGAGGCCGGAAATTGTTGGGGTCCCGCCTGAAGGTTATACCCAGAAGTTCAAGAAATCTATTCATTCCTGCTAGCAAGTTCTGTGGTGTATGTGCAGTTGTGTCTATAGAAGGTGAGCCTTCAAAGACAATCACCCGATCAGCCAAGTATGTTGCCATGATGAAATCATGCTCTACTACAAATCCAGTCTTCTTGGCATGTAAAATAAATCTAAAAAAAAAAATAGAAGGCGACAATTATATGACTAAATTCGCAGAATTTTAAAACCAAAAAATAAAAATGTACACTACATAATGAGATACACATTAATGATTTTTGAGGTTTCTGTATAAATTGAGTAGAAACTTAAAGAAATTTACCACTGAGGTAACACATATTGAAAAATGAATATACTGAAAGCATATGAAGTCTAAAAGTGAAAAACATTAAATGAAGTGGGTGCTGTGGAGGGGACTGGGGATGACTAATTTTGATTGAGTGAAGTTTGATGTTAAATCTAAAGAAAGTGGGTGGAAAGGTGTACACCCCTGAAATACACATATTTTCCAGGCATATTTTTCACAGCACGATTCACATTAGATTTAACAAAATATCAAGCCCAGTGAGGTATGTAAATGTGGAAAGAAAGCATCTGGAAAATATGCTTACTCTAGATTAGAGTACACTTTTCCACTTCTGTCACCTTCTGTGTTTTCAAGTTTGTAAAAAAAGGTAACAGGCCACGGAGGCCCACAAGGTTGTGGGAGGTCAAGACTCCCACATTCTCTAGACAGTCGGCTCACATATTGTGATAAGTTTGTTGGCTTTATGTGCCGGCCGCTCTTTACTCCCAGGAAGAATCCTGATTCTCATTTCTGTTAGAGGCTGAGTTGACCCCAGGGCCATAGTGAGGCTGAAAGGATTAGGTAAATTGAAAAAAAAATCCAATGACCTCATCAGGAATCAAGCCCACAACCTTCTGGCTTATAGCATAGTACCTCAACCAACTATGCTACTGCATGCCCCCTTTCAAATCTGTATAAAAAAAATCCCTGGTTTTAGTCCGCAAGCAGACTATACTGACTGAGCAACCGCCACTTGTTGAAGTTAGTGCCAACTTCAAATCTATATATCACTTAAAAATTGAGCTGCATTACTGTGAGTCTGACTGTGTACTTGGTCAAATCATAAGGGCTGGCTGGATTTCATGTAGTAGTGACATATGAATATGGAATATTGAAAGTCTGTACATGTAGCCCCCCTCCCAAATGCCTACCCTTGCCCAAGAATTAAATCTTGTCTAGCCTACAGCCTAGTCACTATACTGACTGAGCTATCCCAGGATTCAGAAAACTGAAGCTTTTGAAAATGATCTTGTACTCATGTAATATTATAAAATTATGTATCATACTGGGTTATATATAGCCAAACTAATGGCAGATTACACAATGTAAAAAAATACAGCTTCTTTAGAATGATTTCTGAATAATGTACTGTTTTTTTTCCTTGAAAGTAACAAATTATAGCTTGTAAGCAGATCATTTATTTATATATTTGCACAGATCCCTGTTTGCTTGAATGAAAGAAGCATTTTCCTATAATAATCCATTTACTCTAGCTTTCAACAGTAGAGTATTTGTTCTAGAAAGTGAGAGGTTGGGGATTTGATTTGGAAATGACGTGAAATTATTTTCACTTTTTACAAATATTCTGTAGTTGGAAACTGATAACTTCTTTACTTGCTATACAAGACCACATCATGATCATACAATATGTGAATATAACCTAAAATCAGTTATTAAAAATATTAGTCAACTAGTTCAATGTATTCCAAAACATTAACTATGTAATACAGTCTTCACACCTCTTAATTAGTTTTGCTGCTACTAGACGTTGTTCAGAATCCAGGTATGCTGATGGTTCATCAATGAGGTATACATCTGCTGGCTTTCCCAGGCAAAGAGCCAATGCAACTCGCTGCAGCTCTCCTCCAGACAAGTTTTGCACCTCCTGGTCCATGATGTCGTCCATCCGCAGTGGCTTCATCACATCAGTCACAAACTAAAATTGGAGTAACTGGTGTTGTTACTGACCTGGGATACATTACGGCATGTCATGAACATGAATTCTTCGATTACTGTCCTCTTATGGGTGTATCATCTTTACTGGTGGCTAGGATCAATAATATTATTGTGACGGCATAAGTATGTCTATAAAACTGTACTTGTGAATTATAATTCCCCATATTAATGTAAAATTTGTAGGCAAACAATTCCATTCTTTTTGATTTATGATCATTCCTGACTATCAGTATCTCAGTCTGTGAAGTAGTGAATTTTCACTCTTTGAAACTACATGTCTGCTTTGACCCAGAATCATGGCAAGAGGCCAGAAAAATACGCAAGTGAGCAGCTGAATGTATGATACACAATACATGAGCAATCAAAAACTGAACTCTCTGGTATCAGACAAATTATATCAACTAACTTAAAGTGCAGATTTACACCACTGTATTTCACATTAAAATTAAATCAATATTTAGCCATTAAATAAATAATATGTACTATCAAAATAAGTGTAATGATATATCAGCACATACAATTTTCCTATCTACAGTTTCTCAAGTGGCCTCAGTCTTCTCAACCATGGCATTTTTCAGTTGGTGAGGCACTGCTGTACATAAATTTATCATTGGACTGATCACTGTATAAGCCTGCCGATACTTTTTGGCCGGTGTCCTTCACTGTCAGCGCATGAGAGCGAGTCTATGCTACAAACTTGCTTCGTCTGCAGAGAGACCAGTCGTAGGCTGGCACTGGCAACTGGCACGTGGGAAAAGCACATGGCATCTACTAATAACAGCGATCCTATGAGCTCAAAGTCTACCTTCTTACTGAGGCAACATAGTGTTGCTGCGCATGCTCACCAATCTTAAGCTCACCGACTTGCGTCAGACCACCACGCATCAGAGATCCACCAGCCAAAATCGACCGTCCCACCTATAACCTCTGAAAATACTGAGAAGTGATGTATGAGCTGCTGTCACTGTCAGAACTGTCATTCCCCACATGCACACGAACTTCTTGACCTCTACTGAGACGAGCTTTGGTAGCGACGTACTGAGTTTCTCATAGCAATAACATTAATATATATTTTCCAGTTGTCTTCGTTGACTGAATCAAATTTCTCATCTGTGAGTTGGATCACATCTTCCATTCCTTCAGCATCCAAGTTTTTAATAGTTGCCCATATTAATTTGATTAGATTCACTTCTGGGTGATAAGGTGGTAGCTGCAAGACTGAATGATCATGTTCAGCCAAAGTCTTATCTTACAGATACACAGATTTGTAGGCTTTTCTTAAGCCATGTAAATCTGTCTTACAGTTCTCTTCTATATGTGGAATTCTTTTCCATTCAGCCAAGATACAATGGTACGCTTTTTGCATTCAGTATTGGTACTAGATCAATCTAAACATTGTGGCAAGAAACGTTGTGTTACCAAAATGCTGTATAGAGGTAGATTTGGAATGAGCTTCTCTATTAACAACTTCTCAAAATTTCTGTACTTGATGTCACCATGAAAATCTCCTGCAGTTTGATGGAATTTAAAATGGAGTATATGTTAGGAATGAAACCTTGGTCACTGACAGAATGTACTATAATCAACTGTTTCCCTTTGGACAGAAAAGCAAGCAGGCCTCAGATGGAATGGTCACTCCAACATAATGGCAATAAGTGAGAGCCAAGGATATATCATTTCATCCATATACACTGTGGATCTGCCTTTACTTCTGTACTTCACTATGCTGCTTAAATATGACACGATCAAAGCTCTGATATGGCATTCCATGAGGATTTGCCACTTATTTTTTGCTTTTGTCTATCTAAAACCTAGTCCCATTATCACTTTTCTTTAAGTTAATAGGCCCCGTGTAAACCTGATTGACTGGGCCAACTTCATATAAATTTCCTTTGCTTGCTGGTGACATAAAACTCATTAACAGTATCATGAATAACACACTACATTAAAGTTGCCTAAGCCTGTCTTTATGAGGATTTTCAAATAAAGTTGACACACCAGATTCTACAGTTTTCATTTCTTTTGCTGTTCTTCTATGAGACCTCTCTCATACTCCTGATGTCCTTGTTACTCTTTTCTGCAGTTTCTTGAGATGTATGGAACTCCTGCATCAGGCTACCTTTCCATGAATTTACGTACATTGGCCACAGTCTTATGTTTGGATATGGATAACTTTGCCTTGTAATTTGCTTTCAATAGACAGCATATTAAGAGCAACCAAATATTTTTCTGTACACCGGTATCCAACTCAGCAGTGTCAGGAATACAGACCTATACAATCACAGCTGCAACACACTCATCCTAAACACCCCTTTGTGAAGAAAATTTGGAATGTGAACTCACCCAAACTCCCCAGTGCATCCACAAATGAAGTGGTGAAGAATAAATGGGACAGTAGTTCATTTTTTAATTTCTGGCCTCAATTTAATGGAGGATACATATGGCAGTAATGCTGTAGTTTATCCGAAATTAAAGTAATATTTAGGTTCCAATAATAATACATGTAGAGATTAAGGTACATATGGTCAATACAAGGTCACTTGGCGTTTTACATTTCAAAAACTTATCACAACAATATGGGTGTTAAAAGTTTGAGAGCCAGCATTTGGAAAAATAAAACTGTCCTCAGGAAAAGTGACTAGCCATGGTTTTCACTACACAGACACAACGTAGAGTATGCAATGAAGTACCTGATGGACAGCCTCTATGACAACTGACAAACAACTGGATTATTTTTAGCAAATATAATACTGTTACCAAATTCCATGAGAAAACTCAGCTGAAAAGCCATCACTTTGCCATTAAAAAGCAACAATTTGGTTCAGAGGTAAATCCACCTCAGATTAAAAATGTGCCTACCTGTGGGTGAACATATGCATCACGTATCTTTTCATGTAACAACTGACGAACAATTCCTTGTGACTTTGGACTAATCTTCTGTGGTTTGTAACTGATATGCAGTTGTGGAATGTTACCTGTAACAATTATATCAACCCTGATTAACTCATATATTAGGTAGACTATGAATTTTATCCAGGCAGAAAAGTATGCCTTTCTCTGCTACTTTCAAGAACATTTTTTTTTTCAGCAAATGTTGCATGTTTTCCCATTATTCTGACTACACGTATAAAAAGTAAAGTAAAGGTATCCCTGTAACAGACTGTGGAGCCCCATAGGGTTGTGAGATGTTGAGGTTCCCACATTTTCTAGACAATCAGCTCACAGATGGCAGTAAGATTGTCAGCCTTACATACTGGCTGCCCTTTACCCCCAAGAATAATCCAAGAATATTCCTGATACTCATTTCTGTTAGAGGCTGAGTCAACTCCAGGGCCATACTGCGACTGGAAGGATTAGGTCAATTGAAAAACTCCACCTCATCAGGATTCAATCGCGCGACCTTCCGGCTTGTAACATAGTGCCTCAACCAACTATGTTACCATGTGCCCCCTCTGACTACATGTATGCTCTTGGAAATTAAATGATGACAAACAGGCAAATACCAAGAATTATATTATTCTAATCATTACATTCAAGCTCTAAAAATGAAGAGATGTTACATGACACATCTTTCCTACGATATGCCCCACTGGCATTGCATGATGACTAGGCTTGCAAATATCAAACGATCACTTTATGCATTAAACTGTATATACTTGCATAGCAGCAAAACAGCACAGTGGACATGGACTGCATTATATTTTGTATGGTCTCCTAGCATTGGGCAGCAGGGACATACTTTCTGTGTATCACAATGGGATGATACAGGTTAAGAAATGAAATTCAAATTGAGATTAAACTATACACATGCATTTGGAAAAAAAAATATAAAGATTCAGATAGCATCCAAAAACTTTATTCCAGTACCTGCACAACAGTTTAACAGCCCTGGTTACTGTACATACTAGCAAGAGTATATGGCAAATTTCATAAAATCTTTGGGCATTCTCCTTTATGTCTGCATTAGAAAGGAGAAAAGTTACATTTTTATATATGCTAGATACATAAAATTTTGAATACCTGTATCAGTGAAATTTTCTCGGCAAGTGCTGGGGAAATTACGAATGATAGAGAGCACTTTGTATATAATAAATTAATGCACCATTACTGATATAGAGGCATTAGTATGAACTTTCAAAGTTCTCTGTAAACGAAATTATATAAATCAGAAACTCACCTGGCCCTTCATCTGGTTCTAGCTTGCCTGCAAGCATACGAATAAATGTTGTTTTCCCAGTACCATTCTCTCCCAACAACACCAAGATCTCAGAGTCAGAGAACTGTCCTTTCTGAACAGTTAGGTGAAAGCTACCCATAGTCTTTGTCATCTCTGGATATTCATAGTGATTCATACGTTTAACTTCCTCTTCAGTTGCTGATTCTGCTACTTTGAACACTAATGATTCGTCACGAAATCGTAAGTTTTCCGTTGGAACAAATCCATCCAGGAAGATGTTTATACCTGAAATTATTCCCTAAATTACCTGAAGATCTTTACTTGCTGCTATTTCACATGAAACAAAATTACTCCCACATTTGCACTTCTGAATTTATTTCTAGCCATAAACACACATAACCATGCAGCACATATGATAAAAAGAAAGGTACCACTCAATATTTAATTTGCGGTATTCCAACATGGCCTAGAATGGAAGCCTGCCCTTTTTATACGTTGTAAGTGGTTCAATTCCTGGTAGGAATGGGGATTTTCACTCTGCCCCTACAGCCAGACCTGCTCAGAGGCCTACCCAGTAGCCTATCCCAGGGACAAAGGGGGATTTTTTCTTGGAAGCAGTTTGGGTGCAGCTATTAACACATGCACTAGCATGATGAAATAAATAAACCTTTCTAAAATAATTTTAATGCCTGTGAAATTGCCCTGAACAATTTTAGTCTATTAATGGAGGACTGATATACACTACATTCAGAAGAAGCTGACTTTGTTGGAGGGGAGGATTGGGGGAAACATGTAGAAGGAAAGATACAAATGATTCAATGGGTTTAAAAGTGAAACAAACAGCATGAGAAGATGTCTTGCCCCTACACTACTAGATCTCCACCCATAAGATGCTTCCAGTGTATTTCATTGTACTGCAGATTGACCCTATGTTTACAAAACAAGTTTCTGAACAACAAAAGCACAGTATAAACAAAACAACCACAAACACCATAACTATTCAGAAAAAAGCATAGAAATATATTAACTTTCAGTCAATAATGGGTAGTGTTCTAATAATGTTAATTATGGTACCCTTCTGAAACATGATGGTATAATATGTGGGGCAATCCAAAAGCTTCCGAAATTTGAATTCTGCGCACGAATGGTTATGAGTACATCGAAATACCGCTAGGTGTCTCCTCACACATCCTTCTTGAATCAGTGTGGCAAGCGGCGTCGAGTTGAGTGGTTGGGTTTATTGTTGGTGAACGTATTTCCATTGTTGTGCTTCCATGAGTTTGTGGTTTTGCGGTGGCTGACCTGAGAGAGCAGTGTGTCTGTATAAAGTTTTGTTTCAAACTTGGGAAAACCACTGCAGAAACGCACCAAATGTTGAAGCAAGCTTTTGGTGACAAACAGTTTAGTCCTGACACAAACTTACGACTG